CTCTCCCACCCCTCTCCCACCCCTCTCCCACCCCTCTCCCACCCCTCTCCACCCCTCTCCCACCCCCTCTCCCACCCTCTCCCTCCCCTCTCCCACCCCTCTCCCCACCCCTCTCCCACCCCTCTCCCACCCCTCTCCCACCCCTCTCCCACCCCTCTCCCTCCCCTCTCCCACCCCTCTCCCCTCCCCTCTCCCACCCCTCTCCCTCCCCTCTCCCTCCCGCTTGCCCTCCCCTCGCCCGGCCCTCACCCGGCCCTCGCCCACCCGTCACCCACCCGTCACCCACCCCTCGCCCTCCCCTCTCCCTCCCCTCTCCCTCCCCTCTCCCTCCCCTCGCCCTCCCCTCGCCCACCCGTCACCCACCCCGTCTCCCATTGCCCCTACCCCGAATTGATGACACCACCACTCAGCTGTTCGCTCCAGGAGCTCGCTCGCTCGCTTGACGAGCGTGAACGTTGTGCTCATGTAGTGTGTATGTGGGGTGTGTGTTTGTGTGTATGTGTGGTGTGTGTGGTGTGTATGTGTGTGTGGTGTGCATGTGTGTATGTGTGTGTGTGTGGTGTGTATGTGTGTGTGGTGTGTATGTCTGTGTGTGTGGTGTGTATGTCTGTATGTGTGTGTGGTGTGTATGTGTGTGTGGTGTGTATGTATGTGTGGTGTGTATGTGTGTGTATGTGTGTGTGGTGTGTATGTGTGTACGTGTGTGTGGTGTGTATGGTGTGTGTGTGTACGTGTGTGTGGTGTGTGTGTGGTGTGTGTTTGTGTGTACGTGTATGTGGTGTGTGTGGTGTGTATGTGTGTGTGGTGTGTATGTGTGTGTTGTGTATGTGGTGTGTGTGTGGTGTGTATGTGTGTACGTGTGTGTGGTGTGTGTGTGTGTGTGGTGTGTATGTGTGTGTGTGTGGTGTGTATGTGTGTACGTGTGTGTGTGGTGTGTGTGTGGTGTGTTTGTGTGTACGTGTATGTGGTATGTGTGGTGTGTATGTGTGTGTGGTGTGTATGTGTGTACGTGTGTGTGGAGTGTGTGTGTGTATGTATGTGCGGTGTGCACCATTTCAGGAGGTGGAGCGCCACAGGCAGGCCTGTTCTATCCTGGAGCACAAGTCTACGCAGCTCCAGGCCGCACTGGCTCAGAGGGAACAGCTCATCGAGGTGAGCAGTGCTTACCTGGCACCCCTCACCTGCTGCTGCTGCTGCTGCTGCTGCCATCAGCACTTGCAGCAGGCCCCGCGCGGGTTCCCCGCACCGCCCCGGGGGTTCCCCACGCGGCTCCACAGCCCCTCGGCGGTGTCGGCCCGGAGCGCTCCTTCCCCCGGACCCCCTCCGCCTTCTCGTTGGCCGGCGCTCATCGTCTAACCTTCCGATTCTCTCTCCTTGTCCTCCCCCTCCCCCCCCCCCCCCCCCCCCCCTCCTCGTTTCTCTGCTCCCCCTGCCCGCGTTGCTGTGTCCACTCCGCTGCCCACGTCCTCCGTTTGTCCCCAACTGTCCCTCCGCTCTCTGTTGCCGTTTCCCTTCCGTTCCCTCCATCCCCTTCGGGGACCCCTCTCCGTCGCCGCCCGTTACCACTGCCGCTGCCGTGCCATACGAACCTCGCTCATGTTGCCGCCGCCAATCCTCCGCTCGCTCGCTCGCTCGCTCGCTCACTTGGTCGCTCGTTCAATTGCTCGCTTGTTCAATCGCTCACTCAATTTATTGTTTGCTCCATCAATCGCTTGCTCGATCAATAAACCACTCGCTCGACCAATAAACCACTCGTTCGATCAATGAACCACTCGCTCGCCCATCAGGAAAATGCGCGTCTCCACGCCCGCGAGTGCGAGCTCGGCAAGGAGGTGTTGGATCTGCAGGAGACCGTGGGCTGGAAGGACAAGAAGATAGCGGTATGGCGACACGGCCGGGGTTAGGGTTCACAGTTAGAGGTTAGGTTTCACAGTTAGAGGTTAGGGTTCACAGTTAGAGGTTAGGGTTCACAGTTAGAGGTTAGGGTTCACAGTTAGAGGTTAGGGTTCACAGTTAGAGGTTAGGGTTCACAGTTAGAGGTTAGGGTTCACAGTTAGAGGTTAGGGTTCACAGTTAGAGGTTAGGGTTCACAGTTAGAGGTTAGGGTTCACAGTTAGAGGTTAGGGTTCACAGTTAGAGGTTAGGGTTCACAGTTAGAGGTTAGGGTTCACAGTTAGAGGTTAGGGTTCACAGTTAGAGGTTAGGGTTCACAGTTAGAGGTTAGGGTTCACAGTTAGAGGTTAGGGTTCACAGTTAGAGGTTAGGGTTCACAGTTAGAGGTTAGGGTTCACAGTTAGAGGTTAGGGTTCACAGTTAGAGGTTAGGGTTCACAGTTAGAGGTTAGGGTTCACAGTTAGAGGTTAGGGTTCACAGTTAGAGGTTAGGGTTCACAGTTAGAGGTTAGGGTTCACAGCTAGAGAGGTTAGGGTTTTGGGTTCAAAGTTTGGTTTAGGGTGAGAGTTTTGGAGTTAGGGTTTGGGTGAGGGTTAGACGTTAGGGTTTATGGTTGTGGGTTATGGTTAGGGGGTAAGGGCTAGGTTATTAGGGTTTAGCAAGTAGGGTTAGGCGGTGAGGGTTAGAGGGTGCCGGGTTATAGTTTAGGAGTTAGGGTTTGGCATTAGAGTGCAGGGTTGGTTCTGGATTATGGGTTTGGGTGAGGGGTTGGCGTGTGCGGTTGGGGCGTGGGGTTGGGGTGCGGGATGGGGATACAAGTTTGGGGTGTGAGGTTAGCGTGGGGGATGGGGGTTGTGGGGTGTGAGGTTGGGGTGTGGGGTGTGAGGTTGGGGTGCGGGGTTAGCATGGGGGGGTTGGGGTGTGAGGTTGGGGTCACGTGTATATCGACTGCTCTTCTCACCCCGTCTCTTGGATGGAGTTCTCCGTGCACTGACCTCACTCTTCTCTCCCGTCGCCCGTGTGTGACCGCCCCTCCTCTCCCGCTTTCCTTATCTCCGTTATCTCTCTCCCGCCGGTCTTTCCATCTGGCTATCTGTCCGCCCGTTTGTACCATTGAATCCGTCCGGCTGTCCGTCCGTTTGTCCGTCTGCCTATCCCTTCGTCCATCTGTCCTTCCGTCCGTCCTTCCTTCCGTGGCGGGCCTGCTGCCAGGCCCTGGAGAGGCACAAGGCCTACTGTGATAGCCTAAGAGCGGAGAGAGATGAGCCGGGAGCTGAGGTTTGCCGTCCGCTCCACGGGATTCAGGTACGGTCGCCGCTGCCGCCGCCACCACCAGCAGAAACACCGAATACGCGTGTGGGGGTGGTGCCGGCCACCCACCCCCCCTCGTGTGCCGTGCCGGCCTTCATAGGTGCTGCTCGCTAACGGCACTTGCCCCAACAGTCTGTTAAGGGCCACACGGGGGATCTATTTCTGGGTGTGTGCGTGCGTGCGTGCGTGTAGAGGCACGGGCTGGCCGTGGTGCAGGGCTCCGTGTGTAACGGGGAGCGGGAGGAGACGGGGGCGGCGCCGCTCGCGCTGGTGTCACGGACGTCGGCGCGGATCCTGGACGCGCTGGGAGACGGGCCCCTGGGTACGACCCCGGCACACGGCGCACGTCCACGGCGCACCCTGCACATCCACGGCACACCCTGCGCGTCCACGGCACACTCTGCGTGTCCACGGTGCACGTCCACGGCACAGCCTGCACGTCCGGGTGTCCACCCCGCTAGTGGCGCTTGTGACGTCCGTAGATCTTTTTAAAATCTATATTGAAAACTTATTTCTTGATGAAACTCATTTCTTGATAAAACTAATTTCTTGATAAAAACTCACCTCCGGTTAGCACTGTTGGCTACGTACGGTGGTGTGAAAGAAGTTCAACATACATACGTACATACACGGAGCAGGGTCTGTTTTCACAGGGGGCGGGGAGAGGTAGACGGATTCAGAGTGTGGGTGGCCACACAAAGGTCATGTGATTTAGCGGTGACTTGATCTGTTTTATATTCGTATGTGGCCATGACCACCGACTGGTGTCGTCTTAATAATCACTGTCAGTGTGCCAGTGGTTGGCAGACTTAAAACTGAAGGTTTTTATCATGAGGGAGACCGCTTGATTCCTGTCGCAGCCTCGTTAGCATTTCCGTCAGTACACAGCCAAGCAGACACAAGCACTTCCTCTAACCCTAACTACACTATCCAAGCAGACCTTTAGCCCCAACCCTAACTACACTAGCCAACTAGACACTAGCCCTAACCCTTACTACACTAGCCATCTAGACACTAGCCCTAACCCTAACTACACTAGCCAACTAGACACTAGCCCTAACCCTAACTACACTAGCCAACTAGACACTAGCCCTAACCCTAACTACACTAGCCATCTAGACACTAGCCCTAACCCTTACTACACTAGCCATCTAGACACTAGCCCTAACCCTAGCCACACTAGCCATCTAGACACTAGCCCTAACCCTAACTACACTAGCCATCTAGACACTAGCCCTAACCCTTACTACACTAGCCAACTAGACGCTAGGCCTAACCCTAACTACACTAGCCAACTAGACACTAGCCCTAACCCTAGCCACACTAGCCATCTAGACACTAGCCCTAACCCTAACTACACTAGCCATCTAGACACTAGCCCTAACCCTTACTACACTAGCCATCTAGACACTAGCCCTAACTACACTAGCCAACTAGACACTAGCCCTAACCCTTACTACACTAGCCATCTACCACTAGTCCTAACCCTCACTACACTAGCCATCTAGACACTAGCCCTAACCCTTACTACACTAATCAACTAGACACTAGCCCTAACCCTAAACTAGACTAGCCATCTAGACACTAGCCATAACCCTTACTCCACTAGCCATCTAGACACTAGCCCTAACCCTTACTACACTAACCAACTAGACACTAGCCCTAACCCTAACTACACTAGCCATCTAGACACTAGCCCTAACCCTAACTACACTAGCCAACTAGACACTAGCCCTAACCCTAACTACACTAGCCATCTAGACACTAGCCCTAACCCTTACTACACTAGCCAACTAGACACTAGCCCTAACCCTAACTACACTAGCCATCTAGACACTAGCCCTAACCCTAACTACACTAGCCAACTAGACACTAGCCCTAACCCTAACTAGACTAGCCATCTAGACACTAGCCCTAACCCTTACTACACTAGCCAACTAGACACTAGCCCTAACCCTTACTACACTAGCCAACTAGACACTAGCCCTAACCCTTACTACACTAGTCATCTAGACACTAGCCCTAACCCTTACTACACTAGCCATCTAGACACTAGCCCTAACCCTTACTACACTAACCATCTAGACACTAGCCCTAACCCTTACTCCACTAGCCATCTAGACACTAGCCCTAACCCTAACTAGACTAGCCATCTAGACACTAGCCCTAACCCTTACTACACTAGCCAACTAGACACTAGCCCTAACCCTTACTCCACTAGCCATCTAGACACTAGCCCTAACCCTAACTACACTAGCCATCTAGACACTAGCCCTAACCCTAGCCACACTAGCCATCTAGACACTAGCCCTAACCCTTACTACACTAGCCATCTAGACACTAGCCCTAACCCTTACTCCACTAGCCATCTAGACACTAGCCCTAACCCTTACTACACTAGCCAACTAGACACTAGCCCTAACCCTTACTCCACTAGCCATCTAGACACTAGCCCTAACCCTAACTAGACTAGCCATCTAGACACTAGCCCTAACCCTTACTACACTAGCCAACTAGACACTAGCCCTAACCCTAGCCACAGTAGCCAACTAGACACTAGCCCTAACCCTTACTACACTAGCCATCTAGACACTAGCCCTAACCCTTACTCCACTAGCCATCTAGACACTAGCCCTAACCCTTACTACACTAGCCAACTAGACACTAGCCCTAACCCTTACTCCACTAGCCATCTAGACACTAGCCCTAACCCTAACTAGACTAGCCATCTAGACACTAGCCCTAACCCTTACTACACTAGCCAACTAGACACTAGCCCTAACCCTTACTACACTAGCCATCTAGACACTAGCCCTAACCCTAACTACACTAGCCAACTAGACACTAGCCCTAACCCTAACTACACTAGCCAACTAGACACTAGCCCTAACCCTAACTACACTAGCCATCTAGACACTAGCCCTAACCCTTACTACACTAGCCATCTAGACACTAGCCCTAACCCTAGCCACACTAGCCATCTAGACACTAGCCCTAACCCTAACTACACTAGCCATCTAGACACTAGCCCTAACCCTTACTACACTAGCCAACTAGACGCTAGGCCTAACCCTAACTACACTAGCCAACTAGACACTAGCCCTAACCCTAGCCACACTAGCCATCTAGACACTAGCCCTAACCCTAACTACACTAGCCATCTAGACACTAGCCCTAACCCTTACTACACTAGCCATCTAGACACTAGCCCTAACTACACTAGCCAACTAGACACTAGCCCTAACCCTTACTACACTAGCCATCTACCACTAGTCCTAACCCTCACTACACTAGCCATCTAGACACTAGCCCTAACCCTTACTACACTAATCAACTAGACACTAGCCCTAACCCTAACTAGACTAGCCATCTAGACACTAGCCATAACCCTTACTCCACTAGCCATCTAGACACTAGCCCTAACCCTTACTACACTAACCAACTAGACACTAGCCCTAACCCTAACTACACTAGCCATCTAGACACTAGCCCTAACCCTAACTACACTAGCCAACTAGACACTAGCCCTAACCCTAACTACACTAGCCATCTAGACACTAGCCCTAACCCTTACTACACTAGCCAACTAGACACTAGCCCTAACCCTTACTACACTAGCCAACTAGACACTAGCCCTAACCCTTACTACACTAGTCATCTAGACACTAGCCCTAACCCTTACTACACTAGCCATCTAGACACTAGCCCTAACCCTTACTACACTAACCATCTAGACACTAGCCCTAACCCTTACTCCACTAGCCATCTAGACACTAGCCCTAACCCTAACTAGACTAGCCATCTAGACACTAGCCCTAACCCTTACTACACTAGCCAACTAGACACTAGCCCTAACCCTTACTCCACTAGCCAACTAGACACTAGCCCTAACCCTAACTAGACTAGCCATCTAGACACTAGCCATAACCCTTACTCCACTAGCCATCTAGACACTAGCCCTAACCCTTACTACACTAACCAACTAGACACTAGCCCTAACCCTAACTACACTAGCCATCTAGACACTAGCCCTAACCCTAACTACACTAGCCAACTAGACACTAGCCCTAACCCTAACTACACTAGCCATCTAGGACACTAGCCCTAACCCTTACTACACTAGCCAACTAGACACTAGCCCTAACCCTTACTACACTAGCCAACTAGACACTAGCCCTAACCCTTACTACACTAGTCATCTAGACACTAGCCCTAACCCTTACTACACTAGCCATCTAGACACTAGCCCTAACCCTTACTACACTAACCATCTAGACACTAGCCCTAACCCTTACTCCACTAGCCATCTAGACACTAGCCCTAACCCTAACTAGACTAGCCATCTAGACACTAGCCCTAACCCTTACTACACTAGCCAACTAGACACTAGCCCTAACCCTTACTCCACTAGCCAACTAGACACTAGCCCTAACCCTAACTAGACTAGCCATCTAGACACTAGCCCTAACCCTTACTACACTAGCCAACTAGACACTAGCCCTAACCCTAACTACACTAGCCATCTAGACACTAGCCCTAACCCTAACTAGACTAGCCATCTAGACACTAGCCCTAACCCTTACTACACTAGCCAACTAGACACTAGCCCTAACCCTTACTCCACTAGCCAACTAGACACTAGCCCTAACCCTAACTAGACTAGCCATCTAGACACTAGCCCTAACCCTTACTACACTAGCCAACTAGACACTAGCCCTAACCCTAACTACACTAGCCACACGTAACCCTAGCCACACGTACATAGTGGAACCCGTCGAATGAGCATTGAGGTATCGGCGCTCGTCTCCTGTTCACATCACTGCACAGCCAGTGGTGGAAATTCCACATTCCTATGGCGGGAGGGAGCCTTTCTACAAGACAACCGCTGTTTGACTTTCCCTACCACCCCCCCTCCCCCACAAACTGGCGACCTGCTGATGTGACGACGCTCACTTCAACCGGCCTGTCCGTGGGGGGGGGGGAGGGGGGGCTGCACCAGTAGGGGGGGCTGCACCAGTTGGGGGGCTGTTCCAGTAGGGGGGGGGGGCTGTTCCAGTAGGGGGGCTGTTCCAGTAGGGGGGGGCTGTTCCAGTAGGGGGGGCTGCACCAGTAGGGGGCGCCATGTCTCTTATTGTTCTCTGTCCCATTGGTTCTGTCTGTGCAGACGTGAGGCTCACGAAACTGACGGACGAGAGGGACGGACTGGAGGAGCAGGTAACCGCCACACCCTGGCGGCGGGCACCTTCATTGACCCCTCGCACCTCCCTCATCGGACCCCCTGCACTGACCCCCTGCACTGACCCCCTGCACTGACCCCCCGTGGACCCCCTGCGCTGACCCCCTGTGGACCCCCTGCACCCCCCCCCCCTCGACCCCCCCCCCCGTAGGTGCGGAGGCTGAAGTCGGAGCTGGAAGCGGAGCGTCAGAAGGGGGGCGGCGTGCGGGGGGGCGAGGTGGGGGGCCCCGGCGTGGGGGGGGGCGGCGAGGCGGGGGCCCCCGACGGCGTCACCGGCGCCGGCACCGGTGACGCCGCCGTCCACGTCGCCGAGATGCAGAGTGAGGGAGGCTCACAATGGCCGTGTCGCGGGTCACGGGGTCGACGCTCGGCAGGTCACGGGTTCACGGTTCCAGACCTGCAGTTGGGTGGCCGTCTCTCACTCGTGTACAGCTCCACTGCTGGATGAGTCCCCGCCCCATACTGTTCCTGATTGGACGGCACTGCAATCCTGCTGCTGCTGCTGCTGTGATATCTGGGAAGGAGCACCGCTCGGTTGCTTCCTCGCTGCTGCACGCGATGGAATTCCGAGCGTAGCAGCGGTCGGGGTGATTTGATGATCCGGCCGCTCGCCGAGTCACTCCAGGTGCTCGCTCGCCGGCAGTCAGTCGTCTCCTTGCAACTCTTCTGTTGCTACTACTACCACCGCCACGGGAACTGTTCCGTGGTGATCTTCACTCGTTGATTCCGGGCACTGACTGCTTTTGTCTAAACCGCCGCGGCCGCCACACTTTGAGCGTGTCACGAATTCTAAAGGATGATTACTCTTTATAATTATCGTCATTGTTCACCGGGCTCCTCTTGCGCGACGTGTTGTGACGTGCGTGCGTGCGTGTCGGTCCGTCGCGACAGGGGAGGCGCAGCGCCAAGTGAGCGAGCTCAAGTTCAAGGTGGCCAAGGCGGAGCAGGAGAAGGCGGCGCTCGAGCAGAACGTGAGAGCGGCGCCCGCGATCGCACCGCCGGTGCTGCTGCTGCTGCTGCCGCTGGTGGCGCTGCTGGTGGAGCTGCTGGTGGAGCTAGTGGTGGAGCTGCTGGTGGAGCTGGTAGTGGCGCTGCTGGTGGTGGTACTGGTGGTGGCACTGCTGGTGGTGGCGCTGCTGGTGGCGCTGCTGCTGGTGGCGCTGCTGGTGGTGGTACTGGTGGTGGCGCTGGTGCTGGTGGTGCAGCTGGTGATGGTGCTGGTGGTGGCGCTGGTGGTGGCGCTGGTGGTGGCGCTGCTGGTGGCACTGCTGGTGGTGGTACTGGTGGTGGCGCTGGTGCTGGTGGTGCGGCTGGTGATGGTGCTGGTGGTGGCGCTGGTGGTGGCGCTGGTGGTGGCGCTGCTGGTGGAGCTGGTGGTGGCGCTGCTGGTGGAGCTGGTGGTGGCGCTGGTGGTGGTGGTGCTGGTGCTGGTGGTGTGGCTGGTGGTGGTCGTTTGGTCTGAGCTGCCGCTGCTGGCTCCGCTAACTCTCGATTGCATTGTCATTGCTCGCGTTACCACAAACACCACTACCACCACAAACACCACTACCACCACGATCATCACTATCACCACTACCACCACGATCATCACTACCACCACGATCATCACTACCACCACAAACACCACTACCACCACGATCATCACTATCACCACTACCACCACGATCATCACTACCACCACTACCACCACGATCATCACTACAACCACAAACACCACTACCACCACAAACACCACGATCATCACTACCACCACAAACACCACGATCATCACTACCACCACGATCATCACTACCACCACAAACACCACTACCACCACGATCATCACTATCACCACTACCACCACGATCATCACTACCACCACTACCACCACGATCATCACTACAACCACAAACACCACTACCACCACAAACACCACGATCATCACTACCACCACAAACACCACGATCATCACTACCACCACTACCACCACGATCACCACTTCCACCACAAACACCACTACCACCACAAACACCACTACCACCACAAACACCACTACCACCACTACCACCATGATCACCACTACCACCACAAACACCACTACCACCACAAACACCACTACCACCACAAACACCACTACCACCACAAACACCACTACCACCACAAACACCACTACCACCACAAACACCACTACCATCACAAACACCACTACCACCACTACCACCACGATCATCACTACCACCACTACCACCACGATCATCACTATCACCACTACCACCACAAACACCACTACCACCACTACCAATACTACCACCACGATCATCACTATCACCACTACCACCACGATCATCACTACCACCACTACCACCACGATCATCGCTCTCACCACTACCACCACGGTCATTGCTACCACCACCACCACCACCACGATCATCACTACCACCACTACCACCACGATCATCGCTATCACCACTACCACCACGATCATCGCTCTCACCACTACCACCACGGTCATTGCTACCACCACCACCACCACCACCACGATCATCGCTATCACCACTACCACCATGATCATCACTACCACCACTACCACCACGATAATCACTATCACCACTACCACCACTATCACCACTACCACCATGATCATCACTATCACCACAAACACCACTACCACCACAAACGCCACTGCCACCACTACCACCACGATCATCACTACCACCACTACCACCACAAACACCATTACCACCACTACCACCACGATCATAACTATCACCATCTCCGCAACTGCTAACACCACCCTCGCCACCAACACCACCACTACCGCTGCCATCATCACCATCACCACCTTCACCATCACCACCATCATCACCATCCCCGCATGCGGCACTGCCACCACCAGCCGCTATCTCCACCGCCCCAACCGCTACCGCCACCCACACCTCTGCCACCATTCCCTCTCTCCCCACCCCACCCCCCCCCCCCGCCCCCCACGAGTGCAGGTGCTGCGTCTGGAGGCACAGGCGTTGCGTCTGCGGGGGGCCGCCGAGGGCTGGGAGCGCACCGAGGACGAGCTGAAGGCGGAGCGGCGCCGCCTGCAGAGGGAGCTGCGGGCCGCCCTCGACCGCCTCGACGAGCTGCAGCTCACCAACGGGCACCTCGTGCGGCGCCTCGAGAAGATGAAGGCCAACCGCTCCGCCCTGCTCAGCCAGCAGTAGCACGCGCGGGGGGGGGGGGGGGCGGGGGGGCGGGGGGAGGTAGAGCACGGGGGGGGGCGGGGCTGGTACGTCGGTGCGGGGGGGAGGGGTTCCGAGAAACCGCTCGTCCCCCTACCCCGCCTCGGTGGACGGGGGAGCAGCGGGAGAAAGGGGGCCACGGGGAACGTGGGGGCCACGGGGAACGTGGGGGCCACGGGGAACGTGGGGGCCACGGGGAACGTGGGGGCCACGGGGCACGTGGGGGCCACGGGGAACGTGGGGGCCACGGGGCACGTGGGGGCCACGGGGCACGTGGGGGCCACGGGGAACGTGGGGGCCACGGGGAACGTGGGGGCCACGGGGAACGTGGGGGCCACGGGGAACGTGGGGGCCACGGGGAACGTGGGGGCCACGGGGAACGTGGGGGCCACGGGGAACGTGGGGGCCACGGGGAACGTGGGGGCCGCACGGTTGTGGGTCTGAGAGACCGCTCGTCCAGCGGTGGCGGGGGGTTCCGGGGGGGGTGGCTGGAGGGGCGGCGGGGTGGGTGTGACTCGCCACTTGCTGCAGGGGGACCCAAAACCCTTCAGGGGGTGACCTCATCCAGCAGGGCTGGGGAGCTGGGGCGGGGGGGCGGCGGTGAGAGGGGGGGGGGTGGACCAGGCCTGTGGAGGCCTGTGGGAGTGCTTCCGCTCGTCCAGCGGTGGAGATGAAGTGGAGGCAGGCCCCAAAGCTGGCTGGCAGCAGCCTTGGCGGGGCGCTCGGGAGGATGTCGCCGTGCAGGCCGCAGGGTGCGGGGTTTGGTGCGGTGGGCGAGCAGTCGGTGGTGGGCGTAGCACCGTGGTGCCACGGTCAGCCACGGTGGTCTGGAGGATTGGGAGCCGCCGCTCGGCTAGCGGGGGCCACCTTGTCGCGTCTGGGGTGACCAACCACCACGAGCAGCAGTGGCACTTGGGATGGAGCTGGGCAGGGGTCTCAGAGGCCCCAGAATGACCACTCGGATCAGTCGGAGCGTGAAGCCACCAGTGGACCTGGTCTAATATGCCATTTTTCACGGTCGCATCCGAGCCAGTTTGGATGTGATACCATCACGGCACGGGTGGATTTCCACCGGCTCGTTGCCGTGCCGAGCCACGGGCGAAGCCGCTGGCCTCGCGAGACGCCCGAGTCTGGGGCCAAGCAGGGCCAGGGGCAGCACTGCGCTGCCACGCCAGCGGCTCGGCTCAGGTCGGCTTTTGCAGTGGAAAAACGACCCGGAGTCTGATGGGCTACGCCCAGCTGGCTTGGGCACGGTTGGGCAGTGGAAAAGACGTATGAGAGGTCCCCCGGTCTGTGGGGGACCTCGACATAATCGGCAGTGGCTTTGGGAACAACCTGGGCTGGAGTTGGGAGGTCCCAGTTACTGGGCACTCGCTCCTGAGACCCCCCTATAGGCCTAGAGGACTGAAAAGCATCGGACACTTGGTCCCCCTCCCCCCGCACCTCCGATTAGCGTGGTTGGCTACGCGCGGTGCGAAAGAAGTTCAACACGCGTACAAGTTGCGCGTGGAGCTACCTTTACTTTGCTCTTTAAATGATAACTCGCTTGGGTTGGGGGGCTCGTGCGCCGGTGCGGTGGGAGGGGGGGGGGAAGGTGGCGCTTGGGCCAGCACCGGCGTCAGATTTCAGCGAGGCAAGGTGAGCGATGTGCGCGCGTCTGTGCGACGCTCTCAGTGGGGAGCGGTGGCCTGGTGGTTGGCGCACTGCGCTACAAATCCAGCGACCCGAGTTCGATTTCCCACCCACGGCCAATATTGGTGACGATTATTTGAACCGGTGCTGGGACCCCTCCCCTGGATCGCCCGGTGCGGAGTGTATACAGCATCGGCACTGGGTAGACAAAAGCGGCCGGGCGTGGTGCTGGCCACGCACTCCCTCGTGTGCCGTGCGGCCCTTAATAGGTGCTCGCTAACAGCACTTGCTCCGAAAGCCTGCCAAGGGCTGTACGGGGGGTGGTGGGGGGGGGGGATATTTGTGTTTGTGCAACGCCGTTTAACGCAAGGATCGCACACTTCAGCCTGCTCGATTCAAACGCAACGCTGGGTTCTGTTCACGATGGGGGATGCCCATCGTAGCGGGACAGTGCGTCCCCGGGGCCGAATAGACAAAGTGGTGTAAGACGGGCCCTGGGAGGGTTGCGGCTCTTATCGTCGCTGCTGTGACTCACAACAACGCGTGTTTACCCAGGAAAGCCTCAGCTGAGGTCTCAAGATGTTTTGTTTCTTCCAAGAGGGGGCGGGGGGGGAGTCCCCTTGCCAGGTTTTCGCAGCAGTAGGGGGGGGGCGGGGCGAGGCTGCCTCTTGCCACGCCACTGCCGCGCACGCCCCGGTGTGTTATTTCGAACGACAGAGAGAGGAGAGAGCCTCCCCTCTATCGGGAGGGGAGGGTGCCTGGCCTACCCTTCCACGCTGGCCAGACGTCGTCACGTTGCTCCCCCGTTGGAGACGGGCGCCCGCACGCGCTGGCGTCTCATCCGCTCGGCCGACTGGCAGCGAGCCGGCTCCGGGGTCGGCTCGGGGTCACGAGTCGCCCGACGGCCTCGCGAATCCTCGCAACCGCTCGCTCGCTCTCTCGCTCTCTCGCTGGTGGTGTGGTGGATCGCGGACGGAGTCGCGGGCGACGATTTTGAGACGAGCGATTTGCCCGCACATCTTCGATAATGGCAGCAGCAGCAGCAGCAGCAGCCGGCGCTGTGGATTACCTGTGGAGCTCTGGTGGAGGGGAGTGAATTACATTGCACGCCACTCCCCCCCCCCCCCCCACCCGTGGTCTTTTACCAGGGCCGTCGGTTTACATTCACAATGGAATCATCTCGTTTAATTTATCAAGCAAGAGCCACTTTTGTTTTTATTTTTCGCCGTTATGTATTTTGTGGGGAATGTTTTCAGCTGAGGGTTCGTTCGAGGGTCGTTAGAGACTAGGGGCAGGGCGGGGGCGGCCGGGGGGGGGGGGCAACCGAAACTGACGAGAAGGGACATTTTTTTTGTACCAATTAGGTGAGAAATTGTCAACATTCCCAAGAGCCGCAATGCACGTGGTGAACACGAGAAACGGCGGTCCTCAATAAACGATGTCACGGGGAAGTTAGATAATCCTCTTCATCCCGTACGGGACAGGAGGCCACAATGAGTTCCCTCCGCTTCTTCCTGTCCTTGGCCGCGTGTCGAGCCTCGCCCCAAGACAGGTCGCGATCGCTGCCGCCAAGTCGTCCTTCGCGGCCTTGCAGCACGTGGTCCCGGCCCTCCAGGAGTTGCCCTTTGCCCCGGTTGGTGTCCATGTCGGGGCAGTTTTTGGCGCGCGATTATTAGGACAACCGGTCTTCCTGTACAGTTCGGCGTTGCGGATTTCGTTTGGCCACGAGGAAGCGGGTGTCCATTCAAGAGCCGCGGGTTGCACGCCCCCTCCCCTGGGCTAGGGTGACAAAAATCGGGAACCCGGTTACTTGTTCCAGTTTTTTAGATCTGTCCCGAGTCTTCAAGAGGGCGGGGGGCGGTTGCGAGGCCCCCTTGCTTTGGAGTAACCTCGGGGCCCAGTTCCTCGTTCGGTAACTGATGTTGTGAGCGAGCGAGGTTGTTGGTAGTGGTAGTGTTCATGATGCTAGGGGAGGATTACCGGGCGTTTGGGGAAACACCGACGTTCCGTCGCCGTATTAATTACAAGGGCCGGCTCACGGGGCGCCCTGCCATATTTATCTTAGGGCAGTGGAGGCGTCTCGTAATTAACGCGCGCGGTTTTTGCATTTAGTGCCAACTACACTCGAGTGACACCACCAAACGTGGTCATTAACAACGTGTCGGGCAGGTGAAGGGTGATGACGTGTTCTCCATGCGGCAACACACACGCCGCCGTTGTTGGGTCTTCATTGCGTTTACCTGTTGCTTGTGATCTCTTACCTGGGCACTGGTGTGAGTTGCATCTCATCACCGCCTGGACACGGGTGGGTGGGTAGCTCACCTGGCCACAGGTGTGGGTGGGTAGCTCACCTGGCCACAGGTGTGGGTGGGTAGCTCACCTGGCTACAGGTGTGGGTGGGTAGCTCACCTGGCCACAGGTGTGGGTGGGTAGCTCACCTGGCCACAGGTGTGGGTGGGTAACTCACCTGGCCACAGGTGTGGGTAGCTCACCTGGCCACAGGTGTGAGTGGGTAGCTCACCTGGCCACAGGTGTGGGTGGGTAGCTCACCTGGCCACAGGTGTGGGTGGGTAGCTCACCTGGCCACAGGTGTGATTGGGTAGCTCACCTGGCCATAGGTGTGAGTGGGTAGCTCACCAGGCCACAGGTGTGACTGGGTAGCTCACCTGGCCACAGGTGTGACTGGGTAGCTCACATGGCCATAGATGTGAGTGGGTAGCTCACTTAGCCATAGACGTGAGTTGTATCTCATTGCCACTTGGCCACAGGTATGAGTGGGTAGCTCACCTGGGCACAGGTGTGTTGCATCTCACCACCGCCTCTGCACAGGTGTGCGCTTGCGTGACGCTACGTCACTGCGGGGCGACCTGCTGTCACGTACACACCTGTGTGTGAGGAGTGTGTGCACGTAGTCTGTGTTCACCATCTCGCAGGTGTGTCTGTGCGGTGTGCGTGCGAGGTGCCGTGCGGGGTGTGACCCCCATTCACCTGCAGACGTCTCTGGTCGCCGCCACAGCCGCCACAGATGCTGATCTCTTAACGGCGAGATTCGGATTTGTCCATGAGCCACGGCCAGAAGTCGCGATCACCCGGGAGCGGATCAATCGTTGTGTGGCGGTACCAGTTTCTTTACATGGCCAATAAAAGCTGAATCGTGACAGTCGCATATTTCGTTTAGTGCATAATAAAGTACACAAACTAAACTGAATACATGCTTTAATAACGTGGCACCAACAGGACAACTATATGTGATTCTTTCGGTAAAGTCACGTAGAATGAGAATAAAATAATAAATTGATAAAATAACACAATAATCTCACGACGTTTCGGCCACAACACAAGCGGCCTTCATCAGGTGAAGGGGACAAGACTGTCTGGAGGACAGCGCTGGAGTGAGAGCCACGCTGAGATCACGACCTTTAAGCTGTGCGAGAAGAAACAAAGCGCCTTGACAAAGGAATTAGCATATAATTTAGCATTGAAATGGCTGAGTGATTAGCTTGTGACTGGTCACAGAAAAGGCTATGTTAAATTTAAAGCATACACATCCGCAAAGGCACCCCTTGGCAAAGGAATTAGCATAGAATTTAGCATTGAAATAGCTAAGTTAAACCAGGTCTTCAATGATAGCGATGGTGTCAGGTACCGGGACTTTGGTGAACAAGGACACCAGTTTATAGGTGGGGGAGTTGATAGTAGAGACGATGGGACGAAGGGGTGTATCTTTGTGTATCTTTTCTTGCTGACATACTGCGACCTTTCACTGGAAAAACCACCTCTGCGGTACTAAATTCTACTCACCTGGTATCGACAATCAAAGGCATTTCCCTGTCCCCAGACGACCTGCTTGTCAGTTTTGATGTGGTGTCCTGTTCACCAAAGTCCCGGTACCTGACACCATCGCTATCATTGAAGACCTGGTTCATCAAGGACTGCACACTGATGTACCCCCCCTGGTGAGACATTGCTTAACCAACACATACTTCACCTGGAATGGAACTTTCTACCAACAAACTGAGGGCACCCCAATGGGCTCCCCCCTATCTCCGGTTGTAGCCAACATATTCATGGAAATATTTGAAACTGACCCCATCCAGACTGCCACTCTACGCCCGACCTTATGGAAGAGGTACGTGGATGACACCTTTGTCATCTGGCCACATGGCCAGCCTGCTCTAGACCAATTCCGCGACCACATCAATTCCATACACCCAGCCATCAGATTTACCATGGAGGTCGAAAAAGATGGCAAACTACCCTTTTTGGATGTCTTAATTAAAAGGAGATATGGTTCAATGAGCCACTCTGTCTACAGGAAAGCCACCCATACAGATACTTACTTGAAACCGGATTCCCACCACCATCCATCCCAGAAGAACTCCCTCATCAAGACTCTATACCATAGAGCCCAATGCATTTCCGACCAGGAACACATTACCAGTGAACTAAAGCACGTACACCAGGCTCTCAGAGCTAATGGTTACTCCGACTACACAATCCGCAAAGCCATCACTCCAGTCATGAAGAAGGATCCTCTTGTGGAGCCACTCAAAACCATCACCTTACCCTACATTGCTGGGGTCACTAAAACGATCTCCAAAATCCTGAATAAACACAAGATCCAGGTCCGATTCAACACAGCACATAAAATCCGTGATCTAGTTCCATCTGTAAAAGATGCTGTTCCAGACATACAGTACCCGGGCGTTTACAAACTAAAGTGCCTCTGTGGTAGTAGCTACATTGGAGAAACCAAACGACATATCTCGGACCGCATCCGCAAACATAAAGCAGACTTGAAACACGGTAGGACGAACTCCTCTGCCGTGGCAGATCACTGTTATAATTCAGTGGGCTCACATGACATTGACTTCTCCAAGACGGAGGTTCTTTGCAAACCAACCGGCTACCATGAGAGATTTGTTCATGAGGCCATTCACATATACAAGCACAGAGACAATTTCAATCGAGAAGATGGATTCTGGCTTAGTAACCATTGGAAAGATGTTTTAAACCATTTCCGTTCTTAATTAATTGTATTTTACGATGACCTTCAGATCGCAGCTCTTTTGCTGGCATTGACTCTTAATACCTCTCACACCACGGTTAATGGTATGGTTTACAACATGGAGTATAACAGCGCCTCACAGCTGTCTCTCTCCCCCTCCTCTGTTCCGACCATGGATGAACTCGTCCGTCTGAACGGGACCCGTAGCTATCCGTGTTGCTAAAGTTGAGGGTAAGAATCCACCCATTTTTCGCCATATAGCATTGTGATATATAATGACTTATTTTTTGGTAGCTTAGCTGATTGGAGAATATAGAGTTTATTGATAACATTGAGGTAATTTATATTTTAGTATTTTTTATTGGTTCACTATATAGTATTCATTATATATTGTATTGTATACCCAGTTACTGTGAATAGCTCAGATGTGTAGGCCTTAACTTCAACAAAGTCATTTCTGTGACCAGTCACAAGCTAATCACTCAGTATTTCAATGCTAAATTCACCTAGTTATTTCAATGCTAAATTCTCCTCTTTGATTTGTACTAGTTGCCTCGGTGAATGTATATGCTCTGACTTTAACATAGCTATTTCTGTGACCAGTTACAAGCTAATCACTCAGCTATTTCAGTGCTAAATTCTATGCTAATTCCTTTGTCAAGGAGTGCCTCTGCGGATGTGTATACTTTAACTTAGCTATTTCAACGCTAAATTCCATGCTAATTCCTTTGTCAAGGGGTGCCTTTGCGGATGTGTATGCTTTAACTTTAACATAGCCTTTTCTGTGACCAGTCACAAGCTAATCACTCAGCCATTTCAATGCTAAATTATATGCTAATTCCTTTGTCAAGGCGCTTTGTTTCTTCTCACACAGCTTAAAGGTCGTGATCTCAGCGTGGCTTTCTCACTCCAGCGCTGTCCTCCAGACAGTCTCGTCCCCTTCACCTGATGAAGGCCGCTTGTGTTGTGGCCGAAACGTCGTGAGAATATTATTGTGTTATTTTATTTTATCAATTTATTATTTTATTCTCATTCTACGTGACTTTACCGAAAGAACCAAAGAAGATGAATCCTTGCAGTAACGAAAGCTTTAAATCGAAATTTAACTATATGTGAGTGACGATATTTCGGGCAATGCCTCTTTCTGGAAGATAAGGGCCATTCCCCGAAACGTCGCCCGCCATCTCTACAGTGTACGCTTTCCCCTTGCGGCTCGCACACGGTGTTGACGAATTCGTGTGGAGTTGTCAACTGAAATAGCCCTTACGTCTTACGTCCTATGAAGAAGGGCCATTGCCCGAAACGTCGCCTATTTTATGTTGTTGACGAATCTCGGGTTTTTTTTTTGTTCATTGTACAGGGACTCATCTACTTACGAACATTCGACGTTACGAACTTTCAGAGGTACGAACAAACCGGTCCGTATGAAAAAATAAGAATAGGTTTTACCCTTTCTGCCAATAAAAAAAACAGCAGGCGTGTTAAGACGTTCCAACACCAAATATAAACCTTTTGCAAGGAATCAAGTTGCTGCATTAACCGCACACAGTACTTGTGGTGAACGTGCAAACACACACATTCTCTGGCAATGTATGCCATTGTCCTTGAAACTGATTGTCCTTCACCAGAGCTACAACCTTCTCTAGGGCCTCGTCGCAACAATGTCACAGACCAGTGAACGCCAAAAGTCGAACAGCACAAAGACAATGCCACTATCAGAGCATTCAGAGCTCGGGATGAGCAGCTACAAAATGGGACCTTTCTAGATTTGAAGTTTTCGTGACTGCAGTGATCCTTTCGGTAAAGGCACGTGGGCAAACAATAAAATAAATGAAATTAATCCAATCACGACGTTTCCGAAGCAACACAAGCTTCCGTCATCAGGCGGGACAACCACAGTGGTTGTCGGAAACGTCGTGATTTGATTAACTTTATTTTTTACCTACGTGACTTTACCGAAAGAACCAAAGAAAATGGGACCTCTTTGCCTGTCCGTCTATCCTGTCACGTGTTCGAACCGAGAGACGGTTCAACCGCTGTGAAATCGATGGTGGCGGTGGCGTCTGCAGAACGTGACGAACCAGTGGCATCTACAGGAGGTTACACAACTCTTAAAGCCATTCCCCGTGTGTAGTGTACACGCGCCGTACAACACCTTTGGAATCGACGGAAGTACAGTTTTGTACTTACGAATAAATCGACTTACGAACTGACCTCTGGAACCAAACTCCTTCGTAAGTAGAGGAGTCCGTGTACGCTAACTTTTGTCAGCTTTGTAAATGAAATTGAGGGTTGGGTTAAAATGCCACCCCATTCGCCAGCCGGAATTGATGACCCTCGGTGTCTGAGTGTGACTCGTGGTTGTACACAGCAACTCACAACCGCGTCAAGTCCAACGTTTTGCAATAAAGTCACGATCCTTAGGACGCGTGGGGGAAAGTGTGCCGCGCGTGTGAGCGTGACGAGTGGTGGCTGGTGATTGTGCGAGGAGCTCAGAAATCCTTGAAAGATCTGGGCAAGGTCCCATCGGTGAGCTCCTCCGGCAGGCAAGGCTGCGTTGGCTGGGTCATGTAGCCCGCATGCCCAGCCACCGCATGCCGAAACAGCTTTTGTTCGGCCGGATCGAGGGGGGCTAAACGGGCGCGGCACGGGCTAGAGAAGAGATGGAGTGATGTGGTACAGGAGGACGTGGAGCTGAGTGGACTTGCCGATGACTGGTACCAGCGGTGTCAAGATCGGCCTCTGTGGAGGAGGCTCGTGAAGGACGCTACTGGGCAGTTGGAGGCAGTAGCCCTCCAACAACAACGGAGGGCGGAGGAGCGACGCTCACAACAACGAGCGGAGCGCCGGGTAATAAAGCACAGCAGGTTGGCACAGTAGGGGGCACAGGTGGTGCATCAGCCAGTCATCTTAGTCGACCCGTGGCACCTGGGTCTGCCCCGTGACCACCTGCCAGCGGGCATTCGACACTTCACGTGGCCTCAAGGTGCACCTAGCCTGGCACAAGTGCCGTGATGATCTCACCGCCACTTAGTGGCGAATGGCGGCGAGAAAGCGGTAGTGTAGCGGTTACTGCGCTACGAACCCTGGGACCTGAATTTCATTCACGGTCACCAACAACTCCCCCACCTCTGATTAGCACGATTTGCAACGTACGGTGCAAAAGAAGTTCAAGAATACATACCAGTGACGATTATTTGAACCGATTCTGGACCTCCCCTAGGTCGACTCGGCCTCAATTGAGTACCTTGTGCGGTGTGTAAACATCGCCACTGGGGAGACAAAGGCAGCGTGGTGCTGGCCACCCACCCCTTCTTGTGCCGTGCCGGTCTTCATAGGCGCTATTCGCTAAAAGCACTTGCCCCAACAGTCTGTTAAGGCTATACGGGGGATCTTTGGAGCGGTGGCGCAGTGGTTAGCGCATTGTGCTCCAAACACAGCAACCTAAGTTCTGTAACCGCTCACGAACCTCACCAACTAGCCAGCTACAGTACCAGCCCTCCCACTAACCAACTAGCCAGCTACAGTACCAGCCCTCCCACTAACCAACTAGCCAGCTACAGTACCATCCCTCCCACTAACCAATTAGCTAGCTACAGTACCAGCCCTCTCACTAACCAACTAGCCAGCTACAGTACCAGCCCTCTCACTAACCAACTAGCCAGCTACAGTACCAGCCCTCCCACTAACCAACTAGCCAGCTACAGTACCAGTCCTCCCACTAACTAGCCAGCTATAGTACCAGTCCTCCCACTAACCAACTAGCCAGCTACAGTACCAGCCCTCCTACTAACCAACTAGCCAGCTACAGTACCAGCCCTCCCACTAACCAACTAGCCAGCTACAGTACCAGCCCTCCTACTAACCAACTAGCCAGCTACAGTACCAGCCCTCCCACTAACCAATTAGCTAGCTACAGTACCAGCCCTCTCACTAACCAACTAGCCAGCTACAGTACCAGCCCTCTCACTAACCAACTAGCCAGCTACAGTACCAGCCCTTTAACCAACTAGCCAGCTACAGTACCAGCCCTCTAACCAACTAGCCAGCTACAGTACCAGCCCTCATACTAACCAACTAGCCAGCCACAGTACCAGCCCTCTCACTAACCAACTAGCCAGCTACAGTACCAGCCCTCCCACTAACCAACTAGCCAGCTACAGTACCAACCCCCCTACTAACCAACTAGCCAGCTACAGTACCAGCCCTCTCACTAACCAACTAGCCAGCTACAGTACCAGCCCTCTCACTAACCAACTAGGCAGCTATAGTATCAGTCCTGGTGTGTTATAATGTTGGCACTGATAAGGGGTTGACAGGTGTGTAGTGGTGAGTGTACAAGTGGTGAGTGTAGTGGTGAGTGTAGTGGTGAATGTACTAGTGGTGAGTGTACTAGTGGTGAGTGAGTGTACAAGTGGTGAGTGTAGTGGTGAGTGTACTAGTGGTGAGTGTAGTGGTGAATGTACTAGTGGTGAGTGTACTAGTGGTGAGTGAGTGTACTAGTGGTGAGTGTACTAGTGGTGAGTGTACAAGTGGTGAGTGCAGTGGTGAGTGTACTAGTGGTGAGTGCGTGTACAAGTGGTGAGTGTAGTGGTGAGTATCTGTGTTGAACTCTATAGGGGCACGGGGTGACCAATAAGATCTGAGTTGGTGTGTAATAATGTTGGCACTGATAAGGGGTTGACAGGTGTGTAGTGGTGAGTGTACTAGTGGTGAGTGTACTAGTGGTGAGTGTACTAGTGGTGAGTGTAGCAGTGGTGAGTGTACTAGTGGTGAGTGAGTGTACTAGTGGTGAGTGAGTGTACAAGTGGTGAGTGTAGTGGTGAGTGTCTGTGTTGAACTCTATAGGGGCACGGGGTGACCAATAAGATCTGAGTTGGTGTGTAATAATGTTGGCACTGATAAGGGGTTGACAGGTGTGTAGTGGTGAGTGTACTAGTGGTGAGTGTACTAGTGGTGAGTGAGTGTACTAGTGGTGAGTGTCTGTGTTGAACTCTATAGGGGCACGGGGTGACCAATAAGATCTGAGTTGGTGTGTAATGAGGTTGGCACTGATAAGGGGTTGACAGCTGTGTAGTGGTGAGTGTACTAGTGGTGAGTGAGTGTACTAGTGGTGAGTGAGTGTACAAGTGGTGAGTGTACTAGCGGTGAGTGTCTGTATTGAACTCTATAGGGGCACGGGGTGACCAATAAGATCTGAGTTGGTGTGTAATGAGGTTGGCACTGATAAGGGGTTGACAGCTGTGTAGTGGTGAGTGTACTAGTGGTGAGTGAGTGTACTAGTGGTGAGTGAGTGTACAAGTGGTGAGTGTACTAGTGGTGAGTGTCTGTATTGAACTCTATAGGGGCACGGGGTGACCAATAAGATCTGAGTTGGTGTGTAATGAGGTTGGCACTGATAAGGATTTGACAGCCGTGGCACGGCGTTTCACTACGTCGGGACCCAATGGGACCATAGGGGGGGGGGGGGGGGGGGGGCCGGAACCTAAAATCTCTCGGAACCAAATTCAATCGCTCTGCAATCGGGGCGCGAGGGGACCTTCGTCGTGGGGGACGCGGGCGGAAGGGATTCGGCCGACATGAGTTTCAGCTTCCCCTGGCAACACCGCTTCCCTCCCTTCTACACGTGAGTCGACCTCGCTGAGTCGCCCCTTATACACGTGAGTCGACCTCTTGAGTCGCCCTTATACACGTGAGTCGACCTCGCTGAGTCGCCCTTATACTCGTGAGTCGACCTCTTGAGTCGCCCCTTCTACACGTGAGTCGACCTCTTGAGTCGCCCTTATACACGTGAGTCGACCTCGCTGAGTCGCCCTTATACACGTGAGTCGACCTCTCAGTTCCTTCTACACGTGAGTCGACCTCTCTGAGTCGCCCCTTATACACGTGAGTCGACCTCTCTCAGTCCCTTCTACACGTGAGTCGACCTCCCTGAGTCGCCCTTCTACACGTGAGTCGACCTCCCTGAGTCGCCCTTATACACGTGAGTCGACCTCTCTCAGTTCCTTCTACACGTGAGTCGACCTCTCTCAGTCCCTTCTACACGTGAGTCGACCTCTCTGAGTCGCCCCTTCTACACGTGAGTCGACCTCTCAGTTCTTTCTACACGTGAGTCGACCTCTCAGTTCCTTCTACACGTGAGTCGACCTCTGAGTTCCTTCTACACGTGAGTCGACCTCTCAGTTCCTTCTACACGTGAGTCGACCTCTGAGTCGCCCCTTCTACACGTGAGTCGACCTCTCAGTTCCTTCTACACGTGAGTCGACCTCTCTGAGTCGCCCCTTCTACACGTGAGTCGACCTCTCTTAGTTCCTTCTACACGTGAGTCGACCTCACTGAGTCGTTCCTGCTTCACGTGAGTCGACCTCTCTGAGTCGTTCCTTCTTCACGTGAGTCCCCTCCGTCAGTCTGACCTCTCTGAATGTCTCTGCCGGAGTCTTTCTCCGTGAATCTTCCCTTCCGTCTTCATGTGAGTCATATAGAGAAAATTCATTTGTGGGAGTGGGCCTTTGGGTGAGTGTGTGGGCGAACGAGCGAGCGACTGGGCGAACGAGCGCGCTTACTACCGTTGCGTTGACACGTTAACACGTTGACACGTTAACACGTTGACACGTTAACACGTTGACACGTTAACACGTTGACACGTTAACACGTTGACACGTTAACACGTTGACACGTTAACACGTTGACACGTTAACACGTTGACACGCCTGCAGGCTGCAGCCCAATGCGGACACGCGCCAGAAGCAGCTGTCCGCCTGGTGCTCCCTGGTGCTCGACTACTGCCGAGCAGAGCGCATCTTCACCATGGACGTGCTGGAGGTACAAGACAGCGCCCTCTTCCACAACAAGACCATCCACCGTATCCTTGTGGTCCCCCTCGCCACCAACCCCCACCACCTTCACCCCTTTTCCACTGCACAACCGAGCCGTGTTGGGGCAGTCTTCCTCCCATCAGCTTCCTCCCACGAAGGAATCTTCCCACGCACTCCGAGCCAACCCAGCTTTGCTCAGGAAGTAGTGGTGAGACGTCAACTCCCTCACCCGGTATACAGGAGGTCGTGGGTTCGACCCTGACACCTGCTGTATATTTGAAGTTTGCGCGTCTCTCTTTCTCTGCGTGTGGTCGTGTGATTTTTTTTCTTCCTCTGGGTCCTTCAGTTTTTCCCGTGCACATTTAGAATCAACATCACGCTTTTCGAGCATTTGGCAGCTATAAATTCCCACGTGATAAGCCACTGCGGTGAGTGGTCATTTGTGGCCAGGTCGCTTCTGAAAACAGAGCTTACGTATTAGGTCAGTGGGCCTTGCCCGGTACAATAAAAACAGTTCAGTTTTTAGTTTGTTTTTCCACTGCAGAAACAGCCGTGCTGCGGAACGCCGCGCGCACTAATCGCGTGGTGAACCATGCGGTCATTTGGGAAACCGATATCACGACGATCGCCATATCTTGAATACGTATTCAGTATCGTACCATAAAAAAATGTGATGTCGTGGCAAGCTAACCAGTAGTTTGGCCAAGTTACATTGTGTCAGACGCTACATCATATGCTTTTTAGTCCCAATGCCCGTGATCTTTAATGGTACATAGAGCTACGTTGCAAAATGAACATCACTTGTCTTTTCTACCACTGTTCTCGAGACGCGAAGGTATTGAATCTCGAAAGGATCACACGGAGTGAACTAAAGTATCGATGTGAATCTGAGGTTTTCCTTAACTACAGTTGCAGGGAAGCTGTCACTTGAGATGATTAACATCATCATGGATGAGCTGAGGAAGAGAGGTAAGAGTGGTGTGTGTGTGCGTGCGTGCGTGCGTTCAGTGTGGGTCCTGTGTGGCGGTACGTGCGTTTAGTGCGTACGTCATGTCCCGTGTGTCGTGTGGACTTTGTGTGTCCGATGCGAGTGAGTGAATGTGTCGCGTGTGACTGTGAGCTCCAACGTTCATCCTCACCCGTTTATCGATGGTTACATTTTAACGTGCAGTTTTACTGAGGGACGGTGTGGTGTTGCCTTGGTGTGGTATGGGACTGTTTTTGCTGCTGTTTAGCTGTTGCAAATTGCACTCGTATGCAGTAAAACCTTGGATTGCGAGCATAATTCGTTCCGGAAACGTGTTTGTAATCCAAAGCACTCGTCTATCAAAGCACTCGGATATCAGTTGTGATCACGTGACGCTCGGCAGACAAAGAGTATACGTACACTGCTCGTATTGCAAGACCTCGCTCGTTCATCAAATTAATAATCATTTACAAATGTTTGCTCGTCTTGCAAAACACTCGCAGGCCAAGTTACTCGCAATCTAAGGTGTTTACTGTACCTTACTCTTAGTGATTTGTTTACCTTTCCTAGACTTTGCACTCCCCATCCATTTTTGTATTGTCGTTGTAACTTCTGGACATCTGTGAAAAAGAGCTTGACAGCTCATCGGATTTCTCCGGGATACACTTAAGATCCTGATCCTGCGAGTCCTGTGCGAGCGCGAGTGAATGCCCCTTTGTGTCGCGTGCGTTTGTGCGAGTCGTGCGTGAGCGAGTGCGCTGCCTGTGTGTCCATTGTGGTGTCCGTGTGGTTGTGCTACTGCGTGGCAGGCAGTGTAGAGTGGCAGGACAAGACCAGGACTCGGTGTCTGATCATGTGGAGACGGCCTGAGGAGTGGGGGAAGCTAATCCACCAGTGGGTAAGTACTGACCCTCTCTCACCCACTCACCCAAGTCGTTCACTCACTCACTCACTCGGCGATTGGCTCACGCACGCAACCACCCATTGACCCGCTCGCCTGACCCATTCACTCATCCGGTCACTGACGTAGTCGCTCGCAGCACTTGCCCCAACGGTCTTACGTGGGCTCCATGTGCGGCACTTGTTCTCAGGTGATGAAGTCTGGGATGTCGAACACGGTGTGCACGCTCTACGAGCTCACGCACGGGGAAGACACGGCCAGAGAAGGTAACGTGCGCTCGGGGTCCGCGTTGGAGACGCGGGGCAACGGTGGGTGGTCTCATCCTTCCCGAGGGCCCAATTGCACTTGCAAATACGGGCTTGTTCTCCTGTAACGCGGTGAGAGTAGCTGTGTTCTTGAAGAACATCGCGTTATGGAAAAAATGGCGTTATAATAAATAATAAAGACTAAAAAATACAGTCCGTGATAACAGGTGAGATGTGTAACGCAGGCGGAACAAAGACCGAGGCACGTGGGTAGCATCTAGAAGCATCCAGCAGCATCCCGCCTTGTGTGATGCCATGCCGAGGCGGCCGTGCGACCGCTTATTCCTACTCGCGCGACGTAGTTCTGTTCTGATCTGCGTTATAACAAAATGTGTTCGATAATACATTCATCATGTTATACAGTGAGGGAAAAAAGTATTTGATCCCCTGCTGGTTTTGTACGTTTGCCCACTGACAAAGAAATGATCAGTCTATCATTTTAATTGTAGGTTTATTTTAACAGTGAGAGACAGAATAACAACAAAAAAATCCAGAAAAACGCATGTCAAAAATGTTATAAATTGATTTGCATGAGGGAAATAAGTATTTGACCCCTCTGCAAAACATGACTTAGTACTTGGTGGCAAAACCCTTGTTGGCAATCACAGAGGTCAGACGTTTCTTGTAGTTGGCCACCAGGTTTGCACACATCTCAGGAGGGATTTTGTCCCACTCCTCTTTGCAGATCTTCTCCAAGTCATTAAGGTTTCGAGGCTGACGTTTGGCAACTCGAACCTTCAGCTCCCTCCACAGATTTTCTATGGGATTAAGGTCTGGAGACTGGCTAGGCCACTTTTGCACCGTACGTAGCCAACCGTGCTAATCGGAGGTGCGCGGGGGAAGGACAACAAAATAAAATCACCAAAAGCAGTTGGAAAGAACATTTTTTTCAATCTTGATTTAAAAGTGCATAGCTCCAGTGGCTTCCTAATTCTCAACTTTGTATCATCCTTGGACTGCATGGGTTTACTGTGCTCAGAATTACTTGCAAGATGACAGGTGACTGAGCGTGCTAAATTAGAAACACAGTGTTGTAACCAGGTCTAAACAAAGTATCGACAATATTTCCCTCGAGTATTTTGAAGCGCCTAATGTCATAACGCCCCGTGTCAATTGAAGTCCGGCCCTTGAGTCATTGCTTCTTCATCCCTGAGTAAGGGTCGGGGGATAGGGGAGCTGGCTGATGTGCGTGTGTGTGAGTGTGTTTGTGCGTGGCACAGTGATGATGGTGGTAAATCTGCCTATCGCCAGAGCTAATTAATCCCTAAACTTTTGGGGGTTTGGCCCCAACAACTCCCGTGGCCAAAGCGGCGTCGGGACGCCTTCACCCAGCAGTGGATTGACTAAAGATCTGTAAGTAATCAAGTAAAAAAAAATGTTTACTAAATATCTTGCGTGCGCGTGTGCGCTCAGAGTTCCACGGGCTGGATGAGTGGCTGCTTCTGCGAGCGTTGGAGAGCCTGCAGGAAGAGGGACGCGCCGAGGTCATGTCAATCGGCGACGGGAAAGGAGTCAAGTTCTTCTGAGTGGAGCTGGGGAGAGCCGGACGGACGGGGTTTAGCGTCTGCGTCTCCCCGTCGTTCGTTACGTGGTGCTGCTGCCGGGTCTCGGGGATGTCTCCCTCCCTCCCCCCCCCCTCGCCGCTTGCGTATCTTTTTTTTAGTCGATCGCTTTTGCTGCTGTCCGAAATCGGTGGCCGATGGGTCGTCGGTTTCTCCCGCGGCGCAGCAGGGAGCGGCCCGCTGGTTCGAGGTTTTCTTTTTTTTTTTTAACGTGCGTTCTCATCTCCATCGTTGCCGTTGAATCGCGACGTCCGGTTATCGGCGGGGGAAGAATAATGAAGATGTCGGCCGCCCGCGACGGCCGTTCCAGCGATGGCCAAGTCAGCGTTCTTGCATGGAGATTTGTCTTATTAAAACATTGGGCAAAAACAGCGTTGGCATTCGTGTAGAAAAGTGGTATTTCCGTCACGAAACAGGCCGCTGTGTGGAACGCACCTTCACGGCAGCGCCTTGCAGCACGTGCGCGATAAACCTCAATCGTCGAGGACACTGACCCTGGAAGGTAACACACGTCTCTTGAGATAGGTGACGTTCCGATCGGTGGCGTTTTTCATCAGCCATGAAGGTAGCAGTTGACGTCGTGGGCAATGGCCTTCCGAAGCCACATGGAGAAGGGCCATTGCCCGAAACGTCGCCTGTTATATTTTTTTTGTTTGCTACGAGGGCAGCGTTATCGACGGGCGTCTTTGAGTTGTTGTTGTTGTTTGCGCTGCTGCACTCGTGGCAACGGACACAGCACCGCATAAACAACAACATTGTGTTTAACGCACACGTGCACTGCTTTTGTCACTCCGCTGCTGCATGAGGGCCTTCCCATGCCGTGCGGGTCGTGGGAGTTGTTTGACCATACTTTGCCACACTGGTTGAAGGCGGAGAGCATAGTACATACAGTACAACCATGGCCATTATCCTGGACCGCCCTCTGCCGACAACAGGGAGTTGCAATAAAATACTTTCATTCCGGCCGTGTTTGAGGTTTACATGAATCAGAATGTTTATTCAGACTGGAGGAGGAATCCGATGAGCTATAAAGCTCTTTGTCCACAGATGTGCAGTAGGGGCCACGGGGTCAGAACGTGACAACAACAAATAGTACAAAAAACACGAAGCCCTGCACAGTTTAGGAAAGTAAGTAAAATAACAAATATATAGAAATACAATTTAAACTCTTTATCTTACCAGGTAAGGGGCCTTCCATAAATGACGTCACACACCTGGGGGGGGGGTGAGAAATGTGACGTCACATTAAAATGCGCAACTTTAAATATAGACAACACGTTCTACTTAATTAAATTTACTTTTTAATAAATGTTTTGTTACAACATCAGAGTGCAGCTCCACATTAAATACGCACTACGATGACAATAGTTTAAAGCGATTTGAAGCATGTTTTATTTTTTTTGGGGGGGGGGGTGGGAGGCAGAGCTTTGTGACGTCATTTGAGGTGGGGGGGGGTCTGACTTTTTGTGACGCCGTGTGACGAGGGGGGGGGGTCAAAAATCGTCCAAAATCGCGTGACGTCATTTATGGACGGTCCATAAGGCCCACTGAGCTATGAGCTTTTTCAGACTCGACGTGGCTATCGCAAATGATAGTTGGAAGAAGTTTATTGTTTTATATTTTAATTGATTTTTATTATTTTATTGTTTCCCTTCTACGTGACTTTACCGAAAGAACCAAGAATATGGCTTATTATCAATGTGTGGAAATCGTAGCAGCCAAATAATCTAAAACACGTGAGGCTGACTTAAACACCTTTTCACATTCGAGTTGCCAAGTGAGACACATTTGGGAGGGGTTTATTTAAGACTGGAAACTTTTGGGTTCAACTTTAAGTATCGCATATCTGTACAGAGACTGCTACTTACGAACATTCGACTTACGAACTTTCAGAGATACGAACAAACCAGTTGCCTGTTCAAACCCAGAGTTGTAAGTTCAACCGCAGTGCAATAGATGGCAGAAGTGGCATCTACAGAACGTGAAGAACCAGTGGCATCTACAGAACGTGAAGAACCAGTGGCATCTACATCTACAGAAGGTGAAGAACCAGTGGCATCTACATCTGTAGAACGTGAAGAACCAGTGGCATCTACATCTACAGAACGTGAAGAACCAGTGGCATCTACAGAACATGAAGAACCAGTGGCATCTACAGAACGTGAAGAACCAGTGGCATCTACATCTACAGAAGGTGAAGAACCAGTGGCATCTACATCTACAGAAGGTGAAGAACCAGTGGCATCTACATCTACAGAACGTGAAGAACCAGTGGCATCTACATCTGTAGAACGTGAAGAACCAGTGGCATCTACAGAACGTGAAGAACCAGTGGCATCTACATCTGCAGAACATGAAGAACCAGTGGCATCTACATCTACAGAACGTGAAGAACCAGTGGCATCTACAGAACGTGAAGAACCAGTGGCATCTACATCTGCAGAACGTGAAGAACCAGTGGTATCTACATTTACAGAACGTGAAGAACCAGTGGCATTTACATCTACAGAACGTGAAGAACCAGTGGCATCTACATCTGCAGAACGTGAAGAACCAGTGGCATCTACATCTGCAGGACGTGAATAATCAATGGCATCTACATCTACAGAAGTGAAGAACCAGTGGCATCTACATCTACAGAACGTGAAGAACCAGTGGCATCTACAGAACGTGAAGAACCAGTGGCATCTACATCTACAGAAGGTGAAGAACCAGTGGCATCTACAGAACGTGAAGAACCAATGGCATCTACATCTGTAGAACGTGAAGAACCAGTGGCATATACAGAACGTGAAGAACCAGTGGCATCTACATCTACAGAACGTGAAGAACCAGTGGCATCTACAGAACATGAAGAACCAGTGGCATCTACAGAACGTGAAGAACCAGTGGCATCTACATCTACACAAGGTGAAGAACCAGTGGCATCTACAGAAGGTGAAGAACCAGTGGCATCTACATCTACAGAAGGTGAAGAACCAGTGGCATCTACATCTGCAGAACATGAAGAACCAGTGGCATTTACATCTACAGGACGTGAAGAACCAGTGGCATCTACATCTGCAGAACGTGAAGAACCAGTGGCATCTACATCTGCAGGACGTGAATAATCAATGGCATCTACATCTACAGAAGTGAAGAACCAGTGGCATCTACATCTACAGAACGTGAAGTGGCATCTACAGAACATGAAGAACCAGTGGCATCTACATCTACAGAAGGTGAAGAACCAGTGGCATCTACAGAACGTGAAGAACCAGTGGCATCTACATCTGTAGAACGTGAAGAACCAGTGGCATATACAGAACGTGAAGAACCAGTGGCATCTACATCTACAGAACGTGAAGAACCAGTGGCATCTACAGAACATGAAGAACCAGTGGCATCTACAGAACGTGAAGAACCAGTGGCATCTACATCTACAGAAGGTGAAGAACCAGTGGCATCTACATCTACAGAAGGTGAAGAACCAGTGGCATCTACATCTACAGAAGGTGAAGAACCAGTGGCATCTACATCTGCAGAACATGAAGAACCAGTGGCATCTACATCTACAGAACGTGAAGAACCAGTGGCATCTACATCTGCAGAACGTGAAGAACCAGTGGTATCTACATTTACAGAACGTGAAGAACCAGTGGCATTTACATCTACAGAACGTGAAGAACCAGTGGCATCTACATCTGCAGAACATGAAGAACCAGTGGCATCTACATCTGCAGGACGTGAATAATCAATGGCATCTACATCTACAGAAGTGAAGAACCAGTGGCATCTACATCTACAGAACGTGAAGAACCAGTGGCATCTACATGTACAGAACGTGAAGAACTAGTGGTATCTACATCTGCAGAAGGTGAAGAACCAGTGGCATCTACATGTACAGAACGTGAAGAACCAGTGATATCTACATCTACAGAACGTGAAGAACCAGTGACATCTACATCTACAGAACGTGAAGAACCAGTTACATCTACAGAACATGAAGAACCAGTGGCATCTACATCTGTAGAACGTGAAGAATCAGTGGCATCTACATCTGCAGAACGTGAAGAACCAGTGGCATCTACATCTACAGAAGGTGAAGAACCAGTGGCATCTACATCTACAGAACGTGAAGAACCAGTGGCATCTACATCTACAGAAAGTGAAGAACCAGTGGCATCTACATGTACAGAACGTGAAGAACCAGTGACATTTAACAGGAGGTTGTACAACTTTTAAAGCCATTCCCCACAAGTTTAGTGTACACGTCGCACAACGTGTTTGGAATCGACGGGAGTAAAGTTGGACTTACGAACAAATCGACTTACGAACAGGAACCGAATTCGTTCGTAAGTCGAGGAGTTCCCTGTACCCGTTGCCGTGGTAACGGGAACCGTTGATGAAAGTCGTTGGCGGGGCTCGGCCGTCACGTGCTGAGAGGGGTGGGGTCGCGTCGCCCAATCAGGACACTACCGCCGACGGGCCGCGGACCAATGAGAGATGCGGACGCGTCCCCGGGGGGCGGCGCCTCGCGCATTCAAATCGCTGGGACGATGGCGGCGGAGACGACGCGCGGAGCGGGAGGAGCGCTCGGGTGGGGGGACACTCGGAGACACGGGGACGTGGGGGACACGGGGGATGTGGGGGACACACTGAGATGTGGGAGACACGGGTGACGTGGGGGACAGACACGGGGGACGTGGGGGACGTGGGGGACAGACACGGGGGACGTGGGGGACAGACACGGGGATGTGGGGGACACGGACGTGGGGGACAGACACGGGGATGTGGGGGATGTGGGGGGCGTGGGGGACACACTGAGATGTGGGGGACACACTGAGATGTGGGGGACACGGGGGACGTGGGAGACACGGGGATGTGGGGGACAGACACGGGAGACAGAGCTATGGGAGACAGAGCTATGGGAGACAGAGCTATGGGAGACAGAGCTATGGGAGACAGAGCTATGGGAGACAGAGCTATGGGAGACAGAGCTATGGGAGACACGAGTGACGTGGGGATACGGGGGGAGGCATGCCATGCCAAGCCATGCCAAGCCAAGAAGTCGAGTCAACAAAGTTGACTGCCATCTTTGTTGACCCACCACCCTTGCCCGAACAACACCGGGCGTGAGCTCCGGTGGTGGGAGTTGGCCCCGGTGAGTGACAGGTCGCACCACGTGTTCGCAGGGTGCTGCAGGAGGCCGAGGCGCTCCTCGGCGCGGCTTGGGGTGGTCACGACGAGGGGAGCCGTGAGGAGGTGGCGACGGCGCCAGCCGGCGTGGCGTACGAGCGATCGATGGTGAGAGCCCAGCGTGTGTGCCCGGGTGTGCGACCATAAGGTGGGAGCGTGAGCGATGAGGTGTGGGGGGGTGGGAAGGTGGGAGACGTGATAGTGGTACGCTGGGAGTCCGTAATAGAGAGGGGGGGTTTTTGTGGGTTGGATTGCGTGAATGTATAAATGTGTGTCGTTAAGCCGGCAACCACCCGACACAGCCAACTAGTCAGGGGTTGTCACGCAAACAGAACGTGGCCAATTCGTCACTAGTACAGCACTGGTGTATAGTGTAGTGTATTGTGTATAGTAGTGTAATGTATAGTGTGGTATAGTGTATAGTAGTGTATACTAGTACAGCACTAGTGTATAGTGTAGTGTATAGTAGTGTATACTAGTACAACACTAGTGTATAGTGTAGTATATTGTGTATAGTAGTATAGTGTAGTGTATACTAGTACAACACTAGTGTATAGTATAGTATATTGTGTATAGTAGTGTATAGTGTAGTGTATACTAGTACAGCACGAGTGTATAGTGTAGTGTGTAGTGTATAGTGTTGTGTATAGTGTAGTATACTAGTACAGCACTAGTGTATCATAGTGTAGTGTATAGTAGTGTAGTGTATACTAGTACAGCACTATTGTATCGTAGTGTATAGTGTGGTGTAGTGTATAGTGTAGTGTATTGTATAGTGTAGTATACTAGTCCAGCACACCGGTTGTGTGTTGTAGAGCCAAGCCACAACATTTACACTCTGAGTACCGTGACGTTTGGCCAGTAGTTACTACTGGGAGTGTTGAGTGAGAGTGTGGTGGGCTGAGTGGGCTGAGTGCACGGGTGGATGAGGTCGGGTTAAGTGAGCGGGGGGCACGAGTGCGAAAGGTTTGGTGAGCAGGTGAGTGAGTGAAGGGTGGGTGAAGGGTGAGTGAAGGGTGGGTGAGTGAGCAGGTGGGTGAGTGAATGGTGAGTGAGCAGGTGGGTGAGTGAATGGTGAGTGAAGGGTGGGTGAGTGAGCAGGTGGATGATTGAAGGGTGAGCGAGCAGGTGGTGAGTGAGCAGGTGGGTGAGTGAAGGGTGAGCGAAGGGTGAGCAGGTGGGTGAGTGAAGGGTGAGTGAGCAGGTGGGTGAGTGAAGGGTGGGTGAGTGAAGGGTGGGTGAGTGAAGGGTGAGTGAGCAGTTGGGTGAGTGAAGGGTGAGTGAGCAGGTGGGTGAGTGAAGGGTGAGTGAAGGGTGAGTGAAGGGTGAGTGAAGGGTGAGTGAAGGGTGAGTGAGTGAAGGGTGAGTGAGTGAAGGGTGAGTGAGCAGGTGGGTGAGTGAAGGGTGAGTGAAGGGTGAGTGAGTGAAGGGTGAGTGAGTGAAGGGTGAGTGAGCAGTTGGGTGAGTGAAGGGTGAGTGAGCAGGTGGGTGAGTGAATGGTGAGTGAAGGGTGAGTGAGCAGGTGGGTGAGTGAAGGGTGAGTGAGCAGTGAGTGAATGGTGAGTGAACAGGTGGGTGAGTGAAGGGTGAGTGAAGGGTGAGTGAAGGGTGAGCAGGTGGGTGAGTGAAGGGTGAGTGAAGGGTGAGTGAGCAGGTGGGTGAGTGAAGGGTGAGTGAAGGGTGAGTGAATGGTGAGCGATGTTAGATTAGGATGAGTCGAAAGGCCCCGCCGTGTGGGTGGCAGGGTGAGGTGGGCAAGTGAGCGACTGTTCAGCCGCGTGGGTGGCAGGGTGAGGTGGGCAAGTGAGCGACTGTTCAGCCGCGTGGGTGGCAGGGTGAGGTGGGCAAGTGAGCGACTGTTCAGCCGCGTGGGTGAGTGGCACCCGTCGACCCACACGGCTCGCCCCGAATTCTTGTGCAGGGGAATTGAGTTTTCAGGTCCACACGGCGTACAGACGTTTCAATGCGGGCTTTGTAGGATGAACGTTGAGATTTATAAGGGCACGGGGTGACCAATAAGGTCTGAATTGGTCTGTAATGAGGTAGGCACTGATAAGGGGGTTGACAGTATGTAGTGGTGAGTGTAGTGGTGAGTGTACGAGTGGTGATTGTAGTGGTGAGTGTACTAGTGGTGATTGTGTGTTTGTGTTTCTCCCTTGTGATGGGACTTTGTATGATGAACGTTGAGATTTATAGGGGCACGGGGTGATCGATACGTTCTGAATTGGTCTGTAATGAGGATGGCACTGATAAGGGGGTTGACAAGTAATGTAAGCAGGTGAGAAGGTGAGGGATCGAGCAGGCGGGTGAGTGAATTGAGCGGGGGGGGAGGGGGGGGAGAAGGTGGGTGGGCGATTTGAGTCGTGCGATTTCGAGAGTGACTTTGTTGAGCGACCGGTGGCTCAGGTGCGGCCCTGGCTTGAGACTCCCGGCTAGGATGAAGCACCTCCACTACGCCAACGCTTCTGTGCGAGCGGTGGCGTAGCGGTTAATGCGCCGCGCTGCGAACCCGGCAAACCCGAGTTCAATTCCCGCTCACGGCCAACGGCAGTGACGATTATCTGGAACCGGTCCTGAGCCTTCCCTGGGTCGACTCGGCCTCAAATGAGTACCCGCTGCGACGTGTAACAATCGCCGGCTGGGGATGCAAAGGCGGCCGGGCGTGGCGCTGGCTACCCCGGCCCCCTCGTGTGCCGTGCCGGCCTTCTGCCCTTCGTTGACAGCACCCCAACATTCTGTTAAGTCAGTTTAACACGTAGGCTTTCGCGACCATTCTGGCGAATTGCCCGATGATGCTGGAAGTATTTACCAGCGAAACGTCGTACTCAAACTGTAAATGTGGATTAACTCTTCAACACACCGGTGGGCTGAAGTAGTGAATTATTTGTCTTTTGTCAACGTGACACTTTTCTTTGCTGATTGGCCGTGTCGGGTGGTGGAGGGTTACGACACATTTATAAATAAACGCGATCTAACCCAAAAACCTTTTATTATGAATTCTGTTAAGTCTTCACCTTCTGTCAACAGTGGGAGCTGCGGACAGTCAAGAGGTGCTTCATGGCGCGATACGCGAACCACCACATGGTGAAATTCCTGTGCGGGGACGAGGACCGCCGCCTGATGGACGCCGCCAAAATCGGTGCGAAGCGACGCCTCTGGGTGACGCGGTGGGGGGCGGGGTTAGCCCGGCACCACACGGGTGCCCGTGGTCAAACCGGGTTCTCGAGCGTAGCGCGTTGACGGTCTCCGCCACCCGGCCACTCGCCTGCCGGCTCTACGCGGTTGACGCTCGCCCCCTACGGTCTAAACCCGGGGTCCTCCACCCGGTTGGCTATCGCGGTCCCCCATTGAAGTTTCACTCGGTGCGTTGGAGTCTCCGCAACACGACGTCGGCGTTTCTCGAACACGTTCAACATCTTTCTTGCGCGGTATCCATGCTGCAGCCTGCGTGCACCCCCACCCCCCCCCCCCCAATCCTGAGAGGCTAGGAGGTGGGGGGGAGTGGAGAGCACGACCCACCGGTTGGGGACTGCCCATCTCGACTTCAGATCGGCAATGTTTCATCAGGAAGGAGAAACGTGCTGGGGGCCCAATGAATTTGTCAGTCACGCTCTCTCACCGGCACGCAGAGTGAAACCTCGGACTTTGTGCGGCAACACCGCGCCGACGGAGGCGCAACCGTGGAAGGGGCCCCCGCCCCCTTTACGCGGCCGCGTTGCTCTCGCGGTTCTGCCACACGCGCGTTGTGGTGAGGGCGCAGGGGCGGAGCTGGCGGCGACGCAGCGCGAAGTCAAGCGGCTGAAGGGCGCCTGCGGCCGCGTGGAAGAGGCGGTGGGGGTGGCGGCCGACGCGCTCTGCGACAACCTCGAGCGGCTGGAGGTCGCGCGGGACGCCCTGCGCGTCCGGCTCGCCGCCCGGAGCGCCGACGCGGTGAGGCGCCGGCGGGGATCGCCACCGCGTGCGTGTACAGCCACGGCCCTCGGTGGAGGGGGGGGGGGGAGGGGAAGCAAAGTCGATGGTCTCCGGAACGTTCGCCGATGATCACACACGCGCGCTCACAACTGGTTTGTGAAATGACATTCCTTCTGCAGTTAAATTGGCCAATTCCAACGTAAACTTTTACGGGCGCGTGCAGTTGCACCAACCGCACACTCGTCGCGGTTGCAGGGGTGAACAATAAAAACTATGCTTTATTTTAGCAGGTAAGGCCCGCTCGGCTACGTAGCTCTTTTGAGGAGTGACCTGGCTATAAATGATAGCTCAACGAAGTGGCTTATCATCATCACGTGCAAAATCTATAGCAGCCGAATACTCTAAACGCGTGATGTCGATTCTTCATGTGGAGGGAAAAACCGGAAGACCCGGAGAAAAATCCACGCGACCACGGGGAGAGAGAGAGACACGCAAACTCCAAATATACAGCAGCAGGCGTCAGAGTCGGAATCGAACCCACGACCTCCTGCATACCAGGCGAGCTAGTCAATAAAAATGATATAGTTTTTAGTTTGAGACTCGGTGAGGCTCTCCAGGCTTAACGAGCTGTAACGGTAACCGTAACAAGAATGAACACGACGCTGCTGTCTTACAGAACCCGAACAATGGAGGGAAAGTGAATAAAGAAGAGATCCAGAAGAGGGTGAGTGTGTCCACTCTGACGGCTCATTTGTATGTATGTGTGTACGTTGAACTTCTCTCGCACAGTACGTTGACAACTGTGCTCTGGACTCGGCTGTGAAATCGTCCTCGTCAAACAGTGGGACTGCTTATCCCCCACTCGCATTGATGTCTGCGTGATGCTCGATCGCCGCAAAACAGCCCCGCAACGAACGATAAAGAGTATACAAATACAAGTTGCCCCGCTCAACCGAGCGTTGGGGCTGTGCTCATCTCCCGTTTACAGTCCCCAGAGCCTGGGGTGGAAATTCCACATTCCTGTGACGAGGGCGAGTCTCCCCATAGGACAACAGCAGTTGACTTCCCCTCCCGCCGCAACGTGGCACTCATTTTATCGGGCCCCGGACGGACGGAGGGATGATGGGCCGAGCCAACCACGCCCAGCGAGGACTTGGACCAGCGACCCTTTCTCATAGCCGGTCCGCCCGCTGTACCGCTGACCCGCTGGACATGGGTGGACGTCTGCGAAAAAGAGCTTCCCAGCTCATTGGATTCACTCAGGACGAATAGAGATTCTGATTCTGAACGGGCCCAAATTAAGAGGCCGCTCCATAATTCAGTAGTGGCCATGCTCAAGCCACTGTTAATGGATTTCATTGTTCCGTCTCCTCTCGTGGGATGAATGTCAATCCTCGTCTGCCACTCCGTTATTATCCTTGACCGTCGTCGCCCACCGTCGCTTCTAGCCATAGCGCTCCCTGCCTGCCCCAGGCCCACTTGTTTGTACGACGTCACGAACCCGCGCGTGCTCTCCGATCCGTGTGTGCTCTCCGTCTCTCGGCGTAATCCCAAGGCGTGCACCCCGCCACGCTTCTTAGTTCTTGTTGCGTATTTCTCGCGGATTACCTCGTCGCCTCTCTCGCACCTCCTCTCCTCACCTCTCTTCCATCGGGCCCCCCCCCACCTCTACTACCCCCAACGCCTTTCCCCCCCCGCCCCCGCCAGGTGGAGAAGCTGCGAGTGGCGGAGGAATCGCTGCAGCTCCAGCGAGAGGCGATCGCTCGCTACCGCGTGCTCCTGGCGGCCGCCGACTCGGAGCTGGCGCAGGCGAACGAGACGGCAGCGCGGCAGGGGCGCCAGCTGGCGGAGCGCGAGTGGTGAGCGGGGACGCGCGAACCAAACACTGACAAAAGCTCGCCACGTGGCCGCGCTGCGCAAGGTTGCGGACGGAGGGGCAGGTGGTTATCGGTGGGGTGGGTGGGTGGTAGGCCCTAAACGACCGTATGGTCAAGCCCTGCCCCTCACTCGAATGAAGTGCCAAACTGTCCGCTAGAACCAGGTCTCTCAGTTACCGTAGTCAGCTCGCCAACTAGCCAGTCACGAGTCCTAGCCACCTGGCAAACACACCCCGAACACCGGTCAGCCAACCAAGCCACTCGTACGAGTCGTCTCTTTGACTCTAGCCATCAAAGCCACTACTGCTAGCCCTAACCAACTCGTGAGCCAGCCACTAGTCGTTACCTCACTAACAGCTAGCCACCCAGGCCACTAATACCATCTCTGGCCCTAATCAACTGGCCACGCAGGCCACGAGTACTATTGTTCCTGAGAGACCGATGTGTACCAGTGCGTGTGCACCGCGCTGTGTGTGTGTGTGCGTATGTGCGCGTGTGGGGAGAGCTGCGCTACGAACCCGGCGACCCGGGTTCGATTCCCTCTGATGGCCACCAACAGCAGTGACGATTATCTGAAGCGGTCCTGGGCCTCCCCTAGGTCGACTCAGCCTCAAATGAGTACCTGGTGCAGTGTGTAAAAATATTGCCACTAGGGAGACGAAGCCTGCTGGACCTGGTGCTGGCCACCCACCCCGTCGTGTGCCGTTCCGACCTTCGTAGATGCTCGCTAACGCCACTTGCCCCAACAGTCTCGTCAAGGCTATACGGGGGATCTTTGTCTCTGCGTGCAGGGAGGTGCGCGCGTCGCAGCTGCTGCAGGGGCTGTGTGACATACGTCTGCTGCCCGGCGCCACCGAGGAGGCCCTGAGCGTGGAGATGACGCTGAGAAAGGCCGCCCCCCTCCGCCTGGATCTCTCCCTCCACCCCGACGGCACCGTGAGCGACGTCCAGGCAAGGTGGCTCGGGCGTTTGCAGAGGGGACAGCGGCGTAGCCGTCGATCGCGTGCGGTTGTACCGACCGCACACTCGTGGAGGATGCAGGGGTACAACGTGACTTTACCGAAAGAACCAAGGATATAAAACAAACACTTTTTATTTTTTATTTTAACAGTTGAGGCCCACCGAGCTATATAGCTCTCATTCAGAAGTGACCTGGCCACAAATGATAGCTCAACAAAGTGGCTTATCACGTGGAAAATCGGGTGGGCCATTAATGCAGCCAAATATTCTAAACGCGTGTTTCTAAGTGTGGAGGGAACAACCGGAGGATGCGGAGAACAATCCACGCGACCACGGGGAGAACACGCAAACTCCGAATGTACGGGCATTGGGGTGGGAATGGAACCCTCGTCCTCCTGCATAGCAGGCGAGGTAGTTAACATCTCCGAGCCACCGTGGGGTGACGTTGGCGTGGCTCTAGGGGCTCTGCCATAGGGGTTCTGGGTGCTTGGGAACTTGGGACGGAATCTCTACCGGTCGGGAAGTTGGGGTGGGGGGTGGGGACCCAAGAGCGGAGGCTCACGATTGGCCCCTTGAGAAGCACGCGGCACCGGTCACCGTTGACGTGCCGATACCATCAACGCGCTTATATATATACACACATCAGAACCCGGTTTATTCACAGACGGCTGTAGCGCGGATTCGAACCCAGGCTGTCAGCGGTGACGCCGTGAGGTGGTGTCTCCGAGCCTCAGCCACGGGAGGCCGAAGCCCGGATTCTAACCGAGGGTCCTTGTCTCGCGCGCCGAACTGAGCCCCATCTCGGTGGCGGTAGCTCAGCGCCGCAGAGCCCCACCCTGCTGCTCTTGAGGCCTGCAATCCGGCGAGCGATCGTGCCGGTGTCTGCGTGCGCACAGACGAGCCGCGTGGTGCTGGGCATCGAGGACCTGTGTGACGGTGGTCGGGGAGTCGGCAAGGTGAGCTCCGTCCTCGCGGAGATCCGGCGCCGCTACGAGGGGCAGGCGGCGCTCGTCGCCGAGGTCCAGCGCCTGCAGAGCCGGTGCGAGCGCCGCACTCACCGGCACTCCTCAACCGCACTCGTTCACGCGGAACTGTCAACTGTGACGGTCATCGTCACCGCCGCACCAATTTAACAATGGTTCAATCATCATCCTCAACACCACAGGGTTAACCAAAATCAACTGCACACACGCACCATGGCATCGCGACACACCACGCAGGGTTACCTACACTCAAGCCACGCTCACACACCACACACACACACACCGTGCTAACCATAATTTGCTCTACACTGCACTGGGTCAACCACACTCAAACACGCTCCCACCGTGATAATCATCACCAACATCGCCACTTGGTTAACCACACTCAACCACACCGTGGTAAATGAGTACTTGGTGCAGTGTGGTCAGCTTCCGCACAAGGCAAAGGCCGCCAATATTGTACTGTACTCGTCGCACCGCCGCCTTGTGTGCCGTGCCGGCCTTAATAGGTGCTCGCCAACGAGCACGTGCCCCAACAATTTGTTGAAGATTACACTGGGGATCTTTGTCTTTTGTGTATCTGCCCGCGAGACGTTTTTGTGTTTTTAGTCGTGTCTTTAAGCGCTTGTGTGTGGGCCGGTAGGGGGAGCGGCAGCGTAGTAGTTAGCGCGCTGCCGCTACGAACCCGGTGACACGAGTTCGATTCCCGCTCACGGCCAACGCCAGCGACGATGATCTGAACCAGTCTCGGGCCTCCGTTTGGTCGGCTGAGCCTTGAACGAGTACCCTGGTGCGGTGTGTAAACGTCGCCACTCGGGAGGCAAACGCGGCCGGCGCGTGGTGCTGGCCACCCCCTTTGTGTGCCGCGCCGGCCTTCACAGGCGCTGCTCGCTAACAACGCTCGCCCCGACGGTCGGTCAGCGGCTACAAGGGGGGGGGGGGTCTTTGTGTGCGCCGGTGCGGCAGGTTCGCGGTGGACTGGCGGGAATCGGAGCGGCAAATGCGCGTGCTGCTGGGCGCCACGGCGAGCGTGGTGTGCACCCTGCATGCGCCGCCCGGCTACCCCGCCACCGGCAGCGGCGCCACTCTGCTGTCCGTCACCGGCGCCGAGCCGCGCCCCGACATCTCCACCCTCCGGGTGCGAGTCGGACCGTTCTCTCGGTCCACCACATTGTCTGGAGAGGGCCGGTCTTGTCGTCCCAGACTTTCCGGTCTCAAGCCGCGATAACCCTGTGCTCCTATTCTTTGGGTCTTTCGGTAAAGTCACGTAGATAAGTTTACCGATAACTTTCGCGAAAGACCCAAAGAATATTAATTCCTGCAGTCACGAAAGCTTTAGGTCAAGATTTAACCCTGTACTCCCTTCTGCCCTCTTTTCCCGCAGCCGCCTCAAGACTCGCCCACACTCACCGACTGGCTCGCGCACCTGCAGCAGCTGTTTGCGTGAGCTGCAGGGAAACACCTGCAGCCCGCAAACAACTCAGCACGGCGACAACGATACCTTGGTCTCTCTCTGGCCGTGTCTCTCTCTGGCTGTGTCTCTCTCTGTGTCTCTCTCTGACCGTGTCTCTCTCTGTGTCTCTCTGACCGTGTCTCTCTCTGTGTCTCTCTCTGACCGTGTCTCTCTCTGTGTCTCTCTCTGGCCGTGTCTCTCTCTGGCCGTGTCTCTCTCTGACCGTGTCTCTCTCTGACCGCGTTTCTCTCTGGCCGTGTCTCTCTCTGACCGTGTCTCTCTCTGTGTCTCTCTCTGGCCGTGTCTCTCTCTGGCCGTGTCTCTCTCTGACCGTGTCTCTCTCTGACCGTGTCTCTCTCTGGCCGTGTCTCTCTCTGGCCGTGTCTCTCTCTGGCCGTGTCTCTCTCTGACCGCGTTTCTCTCTGGCCGTGTCTCTCTCTGACCGTGTCGCTCTCTGACCGTGTCTCTCTCTGACCGTGTCTCTCTCTGACCGTGTCTCTCTCTGGCCGTGTCTCTCTCTGACCTTGTCTCTCTCTGACCGCGTCTCTCTCTGACCGCGTCTCTCTCTGACCGCGTCTCTCTCTGACCGCGTCTCTCTCTGACCGTGTCTCTCTGACCGTGTCTCTCTCTGACCGTGTCTCTCTCTGACCGTGTCTCTCTCTGACCTTGTCTCTCTCTGACCGTGTCTCTCTCTGACCGTGTCTCTCTCTGACCGTGTCTCTGACCGTGTCTCTGACCGTGTCTCTGGCCGTGTCTCTGGCCGTGTCTCTCTCTGGCCGTGTCTCTCTCTGGCCGTGTCTCTCTCTGACCGTGTCTCTCTCTGACCGTGTCTCTCTCTGACCGTGTCCCTCTCTGACCGTGTCCCTCTCTGACCGTGTCCCTCTCTGACCGTGTCTCTCTCTGACCGTGTCTCCATGCGTGATTCACGACGACTGTCTGTCACTTCACCTGTCAGTGGAAGTATTTGGTTGTGTATGAATTCCGGATGCGTTCTACATAAACTTCGGAATAATCCAACAAAAAATAGGACTCAAAATTTTCTGATGATTGCTAAACTTGTTTTGCTTCCGACCGGAAGTGACATCACTCATTTGACGTCACGTCTGTGCTGTCCATGCCAAAAGTGTTGCGACGTAACACCACTGAATTTTAGCACAAAGGCATTTGAGATTGGTGCATAACGTAGACGATTCAGAAATTGTCCTTAAATATCGATTATTTTTTCCCTCCTGAGTGCATATTGCCTGTCGCTCATGCCATGCTGTCTCTGCATGTGTCTCCATCTGTTAGCTGTGTGTGTAGCTGTCCTGGGTTGTTGGCTATCTGCATGTGTCTATCTGTTAGCTGTGTCTAACTGGTCTGTTGTTGGCTGTCTGCATGTCGCTATCTGTTAGCTGTGTGTGTGGCTGGTCTCCTGTTGTTGGCTGTCTGCATGTGTCTATCTGTTAGCTGTGTGTGTAACTGGTCTCCAGTTGTTGGCTGTCTGCATGTGTATATCTGTTAGCTGTGTGTGTGGCTGGTCTCCTGTTAGCTGTCTGCATGTGTCTGTTAGCTGTGTGTGTGGCTGGTCTCCTGTTGGCTTTCTGCATATGTCTCTGTTAGCTGTGTGTGTGGCTGTCCCGGGTTGTTGGCTGTCTGCATGTCTCCATCTGTTTGTGTGTGTGGCTGTCCCAGGTTGTTGGCTGTCTGTATGTCTCTATCTGTTAGCTGTGTGTGTGGCTGGTCTCCTGTTGTTGGCTGTCTACATGTGTCTATCTGTTAGCTGTGTGTGTAACTGGTCTCCAGTTGTTGGCTGTCTGCATGTGTCCATCTGTTAGCTGTCTGTGTGACTGGTCTCCTGTTGTTGGCTGTCTGCATGTGTCTGTTAGCTGTGTGTGTGGCTGGTCTCCTGTTGTTGGCTGTCTGCATGTCTCTATCTGTTAGCTGTGTGTGTGGCTGGTCTCCTGTTGTTGGCTGTCTGCATGTGTCTCCATCTGTTAGCTGTGTGTGGCTGTCCCGGGTTGTTGGCTGTCTGCATGTGTCTATCTGTTAGCTGTGTGTGTGGCTGGTCTCCTGTTGTTGGCTGTCTGCATGTGTATATCTGTTAGCTGTGTGTGTGGCTGGTCTCCTGTTCTTGGCTGTCTGCACGTGTCTTATCTGTTAGCTGTGTGTGTAGCTGTCCCGGGTTGTTGGATGTCTGCATGTGTCTCCATCTGTTAGCTGTGTGTGTGGCTGTCCCGGGTTGTTGGCTGTATGCATGTGTCTCCATCTGTTAGCTGTGTGTGTGGCTGGTCTCCTGTTGTTGGCTGTCTGCATGTGTCTCCATCTGTTAGCTGTGGCTACATTTCACTTGGGACTTTGGTCTCATCGTCGTCGTGAGCATCCGTTATGAATCACAGGGTGTGGCGAATGGTTTTATTTTCTTATATTTTCGGTAACTGTACATTTATTTTTGTCGTAATAAAATGTTCCACTTTCTAATTATGAAGCCTGACGGATGGATGTCCACGGTGTGGCGTGCGTGTGCGGCAGTTCCAGCGGTTAACGCGCTGCGCCACGAACCCCGTGGCCCGAGTTCGATTCCCGCTCACGGCCTACACCAGTGACGTTTATCTGAACCGGCCCTGGGCCTCCCCTAGGTCGACTCAAGTGATTACCTGGTGCGGCGTGTAAACATCGCTACTAGGGAGACACAGACGTGGTGGCTGGTCACCCCCTCGTGTGGCGTGCCAGCCTTTATAGGTGCTCGCGAACAGCACTCGCCCTAACATCGCGATCAGGCTACACGGGGGATCGTTGTCTTTGTGCAACGATGCGAATCTGTGCTTTTCTTACGACCTGTTTGGTATCGTTTGCCACGTTTAGGGTTTTTTGAATCGGCTTTTTGTCTCCTTAGTCCTGGTAACCAAGTGCACGAGAGAAGACCGCTCAACTGGTGGTCTGATCTAGATCTAAAGTTTGCGTGACTGGAGTGATCCATACTCTTTGGTTCTGTCGGTAAAGTCACGTGGGTATCAAATAAATTAAAACCGCGACGTTTCGGGAGCAACGCAAGCGTCCGTCATCAGGTGGAACAGCCGCAGCAAGAAACAAATTGCTGTAGTGGGCAAAAGAGCTGCTTGTGACGAGAGGTTATACTGGTAGGAACCTCCTGGTTACACCACCAGCCCACAGGGGATTATTGTGTCCGGCCGTCTGTCGTGCATCCAAAAATGAGAGGGGAGGGGCTGGGAGGGGAGGGTGGGGCTGGGTGGGGAGGGGCTGGGTGGAGAGGGTGGGGCTGGGTGGGGAGGGTCTGGTCACCCCGTGGTGCCCTTATAAAACTCAACGTTTAACCTACTCACGCCGGCTTGTGCCCGCCCTCACAGTCCGGGCATATTGTGCGGAACACACCACGTGGTGCCGCCGTTGTTGACCCTGGCCATTGACCGAGCAACCCGACGTTCCTACCAGCTCCCTCCGCAGGAATGTGTTATAAGGCAAGACAGGGATGAGGAGCCAGCGAGGAGAGAGGGTGAGGAGGTGGTGGTGGTGGGGTAGGGGGCTCTGCAACTTGCAACCGCAAGTTCGACACAATGCCGGGGCTGGGCAGTGAGCGGGCCTGGGGGGGGGGGGGGTAGAAGGCTGAAGAAACTTGGAGATGCGGATATGAAGGCAAACTGTAAAATAATGAAGGTTTCGCCTGGCTAATAACATCCTTCCAGTGATTGCTCAATTTGTATCCATCTTCTCGGTTGAAGTTAATGTCTGTATGTCTGGATGGCTTCATGAACAAACCTTTGAGAGTAGCCCGAAGGTTTGCGGAGCGCCTGGGTGGTCTTCCGCTCCGCTACAACACCTGCACCGTGCCAACTGAACCCGGAGTGCATGCGGAGTTTTGCAGGCCTGAGAATCGGTAACCGGTTTTCGGAACGGTTTGCATCACAGACAAACTCCTTGGTGCCGTCACGTGGTGTATGCTGTCGGTGTGTCCATTGGCCTAAATGTAACGGCCACCTCGTCACCTCACCCCCTCACCTCGTCTCACCTCACCTCGTCTCACCTCACCCCCTCACCTCGTCTCACCTCACCTCGTCTCACCTCACCCCCTCACCTCGTCTGACTTCACCCCCTCACCTCGTCTCCCCTCACCCCCTCACCTCGTCTGACTTCACCCCCTCACCTCGTCTCACCTCACCCCCTCACCTCGTCTGACTTCACCCCCTCACCTCGTCTCACCTCACCCCCTCACCTCGTCTCACTTCACCCCCTCACCTCGTCTCACCTCACCCCCTCACCTCGTCTCACCTCACCCCCTCACCTCGTCTCACCTCACCCCCTCACCTCGTCTGACTTCACCCCCTCACCTCGTCTCACCTCACCCCCTCATCTCGTCTCACCTCACCCCCTCACCTCGTCTCACCTCACCTCGTCTCACCTCACCCCCTCACCTCGTCTGACTTCACCCCCTCACCTCGTCTCACCTCACCCCCTCACCTCGTCTCACCTCACCCCCTCACCTCGTCTCACCGCTCTACGCGTCACTGTGAGCCCCGCCTGGAAGCGCGTGTGGGAGGAGAATGGGGGGAGAGAGTGGAGAGAGTGAAGGGAGAGTGAAGGGAGAGTGAAGAGAGAGTGAAGAGAGAGTGAAGAGAGAGTTAAGAGAGAGTTAAGAGAGAGTGAAGGGAGAGTGAAGAGAGAGTGAAGAGAGAGTTAAGAGAGAGTGAAGGGAGAGTGAAGAGAGAGTTAAAGGAGAGTGAAGGGAGAGTGAAGAGAGAGTGAAGGGAGAGTGAAGAGAGAGTTAAGAGAGAGTGAAGGGAGAGTGAAGGGAGAGTGAAGAGAGAGTGAAGGGAGGAGGGAGAGTGAAGACAGAGAGTGAAGGGAGAGTGAAGAGAGAGTGAAGGGAGAGTGAAGAGAGAGTTAAGATAGAGTGAAGGGAGAGTGAAGAGAGAGTGAAGGGAGGAGGGAGAGTGAAGGGAGAGTGAAGAGAGAGTGAAGAGAGAGTGAAGGGAGAGTGAAGAGAGAGTGAAGGGAGAGTGAAGGGAGAGTGAAGAGAGAGTGAAGGGAGAGTGAAGAGAGAGTTAAGAGAGAGTGAAGAGAGAGTTAAGAGAGAGTGAAGGGAGAGTTAAAGGAGAGTTAAAGGAGAGTGAAGAGAGAGTGAAGGGAGAGTGAAGAGAGTGAAGGGAGAGTGAAGAGAGAGTGGAGGGAGAGTTAAAAGAGAGTTAAGAGAGAGTGAAGGGAGAGTGAAGGGAGAGTGAAGAGAGAGTGAAGGGAGAGTGAAGAGAGAGTGAAGGGAGAGTGAAGAGAGAGTTAAGAGAGAGTGAAGGGAGAGTTAAAGGAGAGTTAAAGGAGAGTGAAGAGAGAGTGAAGGGAGAGTGAAGAGAGTGAAGGGAGAGTGAAGAGAGAGTGGAGGGAGAGTTAAAAGAGAGTTAAGAGAGAGTGAAGGGAGAGTTAAGAGAGAGTGAAGGGAGAGTGAAGAGAGAGTGAAGGGAGAGTGAAGAGAGGATGGAGACGGTGGAGAGAGGGTGGAGGGAGAGTTAAGAGAGAGTTAAGGGAGAGTGATGAGAGAGTGGAGGGAGAGTTAAGGGAGAGGGAGGAGTTGTCACTGAGGGGAGGAGAGAGGAAGCGAGGAGACGGCAAGCCTCAGGAGAGGGTGGAGAGAGTGAAGGGAGGAGGGAGAGTGAAGAGAGAGGGGGGAGTTGTCACTGAGGGGAGGAGGGAGAGTGAAGGGAGAGTTAAAGGAGAGTTAAGGGAGAGTGAGGAGAGAGGAAGCGAGGAGACGGCACGCCGCAGGCAGCGGCAGGGAGAGACGACCGAGAGGGCTCGCACGAAGCCGGGCCAGACGAGACGCGGCTACCCCTAACACAGCAGCAGCAGCCATCCATGATGGAGCCGTTCGTACAACAACAACAGCAGCAGCAGCAGCAGCAGCAACCCCGTCTTCTCGCCCCTCAGCAACAACAACAGCAACAGCAGCAGCAACAACAACAACAGCAACAACAGCAGCAGCCGCCGGCGTACACGCTCGCCAACCTGGCCTACCCTCACTCTGAGCAGCTGCTCGAGGGCCTGAACCAACTGCGTCACCGCCGCGACCTGTGCGACGTGGTGCTGTGCGCGGGCGCGGCGCGGGCCCACGCGCACCGCGCCGTGCTCGCCTCCATCAGCCCCTACTTCAGGGCCATGTTCGCCGGCGGCCTGGCGGCGCGACACGCGGGCGCCGAGGTGCGGCTGCGCTGCGTGGCCGAGGAGGCGCTGCACGCGATCGTCGACTTCGCCTACACGGGCGCCGTGTACGTGTCGCAGGAGACTGTCGAGGCCCTGCTCACGGCCGCTAATCTCCTGCAGGTTGGTAGCGGGTGGGTGGTCGTGGTGAGGGTGGGTGGTCGTCGTGGTGAGGGTGGTGGTCGTGGTGGTGGTGAGGGGTTTGTTGTTGTTCTAACCTCCCTCACTCACTCTCTCTCACTCACTCTCGCTCACTCTCTCACTCACACTCTCACTCACTCACTCTCACTCACTAACACCCACTCTCTCTCACTCACACTCTCACTCACTCACACTCACTCTCTCACTCTCACTCACTTACACTCTCTCACTCACACTCTCTCACTCACACTCTCTCACTCACTCACACTCTCTCACTCACACTCTCTCACTCACTCACACTCTCTCACTCACTCTCACTCACTCACTCTCACTCACTCTCTCACTCACACTCTCACTCACTCACTCTCTCACTCCATCTCATCGCCTCCGCTGTGCACGGTTGGCCACGTACGGTGCGAAAGAAGTTCGACGTCCAGTCTAGACGCAACGTTGGGCCCAACGGTTACAACCACACCCCAACGTTCGCTCAACGTTGGGGTGTGTATTGCGTGTGCTCCATGTCTCAATGTGTGCACGTACAGTAGCAGTCCTCTACTGTCGTGTCTGTATACGTGAACGTGAAGAGGTCATGGGCCCGACCTGTGTTCATGTGGTGGCTGAGTGTGGGTGGTGGGTGGGTGAGTGTGGGTGGTGGCTGAGTGTGAGTGGTGGGTGAGCGTGGGTGGTGGGTGGGTGAGTGTGAGTGGTGGGTGTGAGTGGTGGGTGGGTGGGTGAGTGGTGGCTGAGTGTGAGTGGTGGGTGGGTGGTGGGTGAGTGTGAGTGGTGGGTGGGTGGTGGGTGAGTGTGAGTGGTGGGTGGGTGAGTGTGAGTGGTGGGTGAGTGTGAGTGGTGGGTGGTGGGTGGGTGAGTGTGAGTGGTGGGTGAGTGTGAGTGGTGGGTGGGTGGTGGGTGGGTGAGTGTGGGTGGTGGGTGGGTGAGTGTGAGTGGTGGCTGAGTGTGAGTGGTGGGTGAGTGTGAGTGGTGGGTGGGTGGTGTGTGAGTGTGAGTGGTGGGTGGGTGGTGGCTGAGTGTGAGTGGTGGGTGAGTGTGAGTGGTGGGTGGTGGGTGGGTGAGTGTGAGTGGTGGGTGAGTGTGAGTGGTGGGTGGGTGGGTGGTGGGTGGTGGGTGGGTGGTGGGTGGTGGCTGAGTGTGAGTGGTGGGTGAGTGGGTGGTGGGTGAGTGTGAGTGGTGGGTGGGTGTGAGTGGTGGGTGGGTGAGTGTGAGTGGTGGGTGGGTGAGCGGGTGGTGGGTGAGTGTGAGTGGTGGGTGGGTGGTAGGTGGGTGAGCGGGTGGTGGGTGAGTGTGAGTGGTGGGTGAGTGTGAGTGGTGGGTGGGTGAGCGTGAGTGGTTGGTGAGCGTGGGTGGTGGGTGAGCGTGAGGTGAGCGTGAGGTGAGCGTGAGGGTGGGCGGGTGGTGGGTGAGTGTGATTGGTAGGTGAAGGTCAGTGTGAGTGGTGAGTGAGTGCGAGTGAATGGTGGGTGAGTGTGAGTGGTGGGTGTGTGAGTGGTGGGTGAGTGAGTGGTGGGTGAGCGAGTGGTGGGTGAGCGAGTGGTGGGTGAGCGTGAGTGGTGGGTGAGCGTGAGTGGTGGGTGAGCGTGAGTGGTGGGTGAGCGTGAGTGGTGGGTGAGCGAGTGGTGGGTGAGTGTGAGTGGTGGGTGAAGGTCAGTGTGAGTGGTGGGTGAGTGTGCGAGTGAGTGAGTGTGCGAGTGAGTGAGTGTGCGAGTGAGTGGTGAGTGTGTGAGTGAGTGGTGAGTGTGTGAGTGAGTGGTGAGTGTGTGAGTGAGTGGTGGTTCACTTTTTGGTGAGTGGTGTCCTCTGTTACGTGTCACTTAAATATCCGTCTTAGTCCATCGGCCCATTGGCTTTCTAGTCCTGGTGATTGTCGGTGAGGACAGGATCTATGAGTGCAAACAAAAGACTTGGCGTCCTCTGGTCGAACACCGTTTGAGACGAGGCTCAAAAGAAAGCTGTCTCTGGTGTGGACCAATCGGTTCCAAGGACAATGCCACATATATTATCAGTGTGTTTCTGTTAGCATTCTGAATACAAGTATTGTGGTTAATGCAGACATGATTCCTTGTAAAAGGTTTCAGTTTGGTGTTTTAACAATTTAACATCTTGATTTGAAGCTTTCGTCACTGCAGGAATTACTCTTTGGTTCTTGTGGTAAAGTCACGTAGAAATAACATAAATGACGTGTGTGTCTATGTTGTGTGTCTCTCTCTCTGTGTGTCTATGTTGTGTGTCTCTCTCTGTGTGTCTCTCTGTGTCTATGTTGTGTGTCTCTCTCTGTGTGTCTATGTTGTGTGTCTCTCTCTGTGTGTCTATGTTGTGTGTCTCTCTCTGTGTGTGTCTATGTTGTGTCTCTCTCTCTGTGTCTATGTTGTGTGTCTCTCTCTGTGTGTCTGTGTGTCTATGTTGTGTGTGTCTATGTTGTGTGTCTCTCTCTCTGTGTCTATGTTGTGTGTCTCTCTGTGTCTATGTTGTGTGTCTCTCTCTGTGTTGCCTCTGTTGTCTCTCTCTGTGTCTCTGTGTTGTCTCTCTCTGTGTCTCCGTGTTGTCTCTCTCTGTGTTGTCTCTCTCTGTCTGTGTTGTCTCTCTCTCTGTGTCTATGTTGTGTGTCTCTCTGTGTCTATGTTGTGTGTCTCTCTCTCTGTGTCTATGTTGTGTGTCTCTCTCTCTGTGTCTATGTTGTGTGTCTCTCTCTGTGTTGCCTATGTTGTGTGTCTCTCTCTGTGTTGCCTCTGTTGTCTCTCTCTGTGTCTCTGTGTTGTCTCTCTCTGTGTCTCCGTGTTGTCTCTCTCTGTGTTGTCTCTCTCTGTGTCTGTGTTGTCTCTCTCTCTGTGTCTATGTTGTGTGTCTCTCTGTGTCTATGTTGTGTGTCTCTCTCTCTGTGTCTATGTTGTGTGTCTCTCTCTGTGTCTATGTTGTGTGTCTCTCTCTGTGGTGTCTCTGTGTTGTCTCTCTGTGTGTGTCTATGTTGTGTGGCTCTCTGTGTCTCTGTGTTGTCTCTGTGTCTATGTTGTGTGTCTCTTTCTCTGTCTATGTTGTGTGTCTGTCTGTGTGTCTATGTTGTGTCTCTCTGTGGTGTCTCTGTGTTGTCTCTCTGTGTCTATGTTGTGTGTCTCTCTGTATGTCTATGTTGTGTGTCTCTCTGTATGTCTATGTTGTGTGTCTCTCTGTGTCTCTGTGTTCTCTCTCTCTGTGTCTATGTGGTGTGCCTCTCTGTGTGTCTATGTTGTGTGTCTCTCTGTGTGTCTGTGTTGTCTCTCTCTGTATCTATGTTGTGTGTCTCTCTCTCTGTGGGTCTGTGTCTCTCTCTGTGGTGTCTCTGTGTTGTCTCTCTCTGTCTATGTTGTCTCTCTCTGTGTGTCTATGTTGTGTGTGTCTCTCTCTGTGTCTGTGTGTCTATGTTGTGTGTCTATGTTGTGTGTTTCTCTCTGTGTGTCTATGTTGTGTGTCTCTCTCTGTGTGTCTGTCTCTCTCTGTGTGTCTGTCTCTCTCTGTGTGTCTGTCTGTCTCTGTGTGTCGGTCTCTCTCTGGGTGTCTGTGTTGTCTCTCTCTGTGTCTATGTTGTGTGTCTCTCTCTGTGTCTCTGTGTTGTCTCTCTCTGTGTGTCTCTGTGTTGTCTCTCTCTGTCTATGTTGTCTCTCTCTGTGTGTCTATGTTGTGTGTGTCTCTCTCTGTGTGTCTGTGTGTCTATGTTGTGTGTTTCTCTCTGTATGTCTATGTTGTGTGTCTCTCTCTGTGTGTCTGTCTGTGTGTCGGTCTCTCTCTGTGTGTCTGTGTTGTCTCTCTCTGTGTCTATGTTGTGTGTCTCTCTCTGTGTGTCTGTGTCTCTCTCTGTGTGTCTGTGTCTCTCTCTGTGGTGTCTCTGTGTTGTCTCTCTCTGTGTGTCTATGTTGTGTGGCTCTCTGTGTCTCTGTGTTGTCTCTGTGTCTATGTTGTGTGTCTCTCTCTCTGTCTATGTTGTGTGTCTGTCTGTGTGTCTATGTTGTGTCTCTCTGTGGTGTCTCTGTGTTGTCTCTCTGTGTCTATGTTGTGTGTCTCTCTGTATGTCTATGTTGTGTGTCTCTCTGTATGTCTATGTTGTGTGTCTCTCTGTGTCTCTGTGTTCTCTCTCTCTGTGTCTATGTGGTGTGCCTCTCTGTGTGTCTATGTTGTGTGTCTCTCTGTGTGTCTGTGTTGTCTCTCTCTGTATCTATGTTGTGTGTCTCTCTCTCTGTGGGTCTGTGTCTCTCTCTGTCTATGTTGTCTCTCTCTGTGTGTCTATGTTGTGTGTGTCTCTCTCTGTGTCTGTGTGTCTATGTTGTGTGTCTATGTTGTGTGTTTCTCTCTGTGTGTCTATGTTGTGTGTCTCTCTCTGTGTGTCTGTCTCTCTCTGTGTGTCTGTCTGTCTCTGTGTGTCGGTCTCTCTCTGTGTGTCTGTGTTGTCTCTCTCTGTGTCTATGTTGTGTGTCTCTCTCTGTGTCTCTGTGTTGTCTCTCTCTGTGTGTCTCTGTGTTGTCTCTCTCTGTCTATGTTGTCTCTCTCTGTGTGTCTATGTTGTGTGTGTCTCTCTCTGTGTGTCTGTGTGTCTATGTTGTGTGTTTCTCTCTGTATGTCTATGTTGTGTGTCTCTCTCTGTGTGTCTGTCTGTGTGTCGGTCTCTCTCTGTGTGTCTGTGTTGTCTCTCTCTGTGTCTATGTTGTGTGTCTCTCTCTGTGTGTCTGTGTCTCTCTCTGTGTGTCTGTGTCTCTCTCTGTGTGTCTGTGTTGTCTCTCTCTGTGTCTATGTTGTGTGTCTCTCTCTGTGGTGTCTCTGTGTTGTCTCTCTCTGTGTGTCTATGTTGTGTGGCTCTCTGTGTCTCTGTGTTGTCTCTGTGTCTATGTTGTGTGTCTCTCTCTCTGTCTATGTTGTGTGTCTGTCTGTGTGTCTATGTTGTGTCTCTCTGTGGTGTCTCTGTGTTGTCTCTCTGTGTCTATGTTGTGTGTCTCTCTGTA